AAATTAGGAGTAAGGCCTTTGCTACGCAATCAGTAAGAAACATATAGCATAGAAGACATTCACATTTTCTAAAATACTTTGTCACTACATTTGCAAGCTCAGCAAGTTATCAAATCACATCTTCAACAATAAGCTCTAGAAACACTACAAAATAAATGCTAAATTTCCTGCAAAATCCTGAGGCTAGTGGGTGGCTTTGTTTTGAAATTCTGTCCTTCAAAACTGCAAAATACATGGGTCTTAGCTTTATATAAGTTTCGATTCTTGGAATTTAATGCACAGATGGTGAAACTTGCTTAATCTAATTTGGCCTAGGCTCAGTTACTCTCAGGCATCTGAGTGTACTGATTGTGTTACATGCCTTGATCAACCTCTCCCAGAGCTTTGCCCATGACCCCCCTGATGGTGGGGCTTCATTTAAGTTTCAACCAGTTTCTGCTGACTTGACTTAGCCCTGTTCCTGAGTTACTGCATGGGGTTTCTGGATTGACCTTGGTTTATTATTTTGCTTGATGATGACTGGGCTATCACCGCCCTGCCCAGCTCGATTATTTACCCTGCACTGCCAGCATGGCCACCAGCTGGGAGTGGCCCTGTTCCTCCTGCTTCCCAGGAGCTGCACCGACAGATTGCTGTGACTGTACCAGAATGAACTGTAATTACAATGTTTGATTTGATTATAAAGTTTCATATTTTCTTCTAGCTGCTTAAATGTAGCTACATAAATGTAAATTGTGCTTTTCTTCAGGTACTTCATAATGATCTCCCAGAAGATTTTGCTGCTGCATTAAACAAGTACAACAGCAAAACAGAGGAGAACTTTGACTCATTATCGACCGATTCTAGAATGGTTGATATGAAATAAGAATACTGACTTTCCCTTTTAGAAACTGGTAGGTTAATATTCTATTTTTATAAGCAGATACGCAGTGTAGTTTCAACAAACTGTTGTATGGATTTGTAAGGTGATAGACCAATTTGAGGCCACAAATACAAATCAATACTGAAGCATATTCTATTTTATCAACAAGAGAATTTGTTCTCCCTTATATAGACTTGTTTCACCTCTTTTTCACCTCTGTTTCTATTGTTCAACCTGGTTCTGGAGTTATGCTTTCCCATTGCCAGGATCAAGTCAGTCCTTGATCTCTCTTTACCATTGCTGAGCAGTTATAATTTGAATTTCCCCTTCACAGAATGTCTCAAACTTTCTGCAGCTGTTTTTCTACGCTAGATAGTTACTGCCAACTGCTCCATGATTTTAGGTACTCTGATTAATTCTCCAAAGAATGGCTGTTGTGGCTGTATCTGTATCGCATCTCTGTTTACATTACTGAGTGATTCAGAAGACTGTGGTGGGCTGACATGGGCCAACTGCCAGATGCTCATTCCCCTCCCCAAATAGGAGGGGTGAGAAAATAGGATGGAAAAGCTTGTGGGTCAACATAAAGACAGGGAGACTATTTACCACTCACCATCATGAGCAAACCAAACTTGACTTGGGGAAAAGCAATTCAATCTATTACCAGTTAAAATAGATTTTGGTAGTGAGAAACAAAGAAGAAAATTTTAAACAACTTCCCGCATTGTGTCCTCCCTGCTCAAGTTCAGGTCAACTTCACTCCTTTGTTCCTGACTCCTCTATCCCTTTCCAATCCCCTATGCAGTAGAGGGGAGATGAAGGTTATGAGGGTTAGTCTGGACATAACAGGTGTTTTTTGACATGTTATGCATTCTCCATTGTGAGTCCTCTCCATGGGCTGGGGTGCTTCAGGATAAATCTGCTCTGTTGTGAGCTCTCCACAAGCTGTGGTTCCTTCAAGCCTGTTCCAGCATGAGTTCCTCCATGGTGATACTTGACTTCTAGTGTTTGCACTAGTGTTTCTCACACTTTTTCCCTTTTTGTTTCCCCCCACTCCTCATTCCTATGATCAAGTGGTTTTTTACTATTTCTTAAAAATTTTTTCATGGAGGTGACACCAGCTTCTCAAGAAAGTAGTGAATAGCAGTCCTAAAACACATTTTTCTGAACCAAACTGCATCTTTCAAAGGGATGGAGAATTGAATGTAAAGGTCTGTCTAATATAACCTAAATTATATTAGAAATCTGTTGAAGTATTGGCTAAAGATCAGCTTTCATGTCATTTGAGAAAAGGAAGTAAAGAGATCCAATTATTTCCCAGATTTCTTCCTACCAAAGAAAAGGGAAGTGTGCTGAGAGGAGGGATCAGAGGCTTATTTTGGCTAGTTAAACAAAACAATTCTGATATGCTGGAGGACTATGAGTGTTTTACCACACTGTAAAATATATTGTCCTCCTGAGTTTCTGGAATATTTGTACAGGTCTCAAAGAAAATGTAGGGTGTGGAAAAGACCTCCGATCTGCTTACATGAAAAGTGCTACGTATCAGCTGTCTGCCAGGGAGGTTGTTGAAAACTCACCTGGATTCATGAAGAGATTGCTTACACAGAAGTTTTCTGTGCTGTATCCTACATAATTGTCTGATCTAAAGAGGCTTTTCACTTCTTGCCAAGACAATCTGGTATGTAAACTCTGGTTTCCTAAATGCTATTTCAACATACTTGGTACCCAGATTCCCTTGTAAATTGAGGCTTTACTATTTTAAAGTAAGTGCTGGGGGACCACTACTGTTCCTGCTAAAGGACTTGCTGGAAATGTTAAAAAGGTGTGTCAAGTGTATCTCTTAGTTTTTTTTTGTATGGAATTTCCTACTATAAGAAAGCAGGCTGGTAGGAAAACAGCTTGTAGTGCATAAAGGGACAGAACTAGGAATTAGTGTTTTCTTCAATGTTTATGCAACTTGCATTAACAATGCACTTAAGCAATGCAGGCTTAATGGCTCTTGGACCAATAGCTGAAGTCCTCGTGACGGAAAAAGCATAGTTTGATGGAAGTAAGCAATTAGATGTGATGTTTTCCCGTGCCGTATTTAAGGTCGAAGTTCTTCCTGCCACCCGGGAAACGAAACCAGAAATTGGAGGCAGGTCCACGCCAGGAAAGAAAACCGAAAGCTGGCGAAATGGGAGGCGGTGGGGCCACCCCAGGAGCCGCCCTCGGGGCTCCGACCTCAGAGCTGCCGCCGACGGCGCCTTAAAGGAGGCAGGGCGGCGGAGCCGGGCCGGGCGAGGAGCAGCGGCAGAGGCTGCAGGTACTGTCCGAAGCAGGGGCTTGCTTAGAGGTTGCGGTTACACTTGCCTTTGGAGTGGAATTTGGGACTGAGCCTGAGGCAGGGTTAGAGTCGACCTTAGTTCTGAGGGAGCCGTGGTTGGCTGCAGGCATGGAGCTGGGGCTGGGGTTTGCATAGACTTGCGGTTGGTTTGGGTTTGGTTTAGGGCTGGACAGCATGCTGGGGAACACCTGGCACTTCGCGAGCAGCTAGGGAGCTCTCCTCAGAGGGGAGGGGCAAGAGGAGCGCTGACAGGGAGTCAAAGACTCCGTGTAGCCCCAGGCACCTCAGATGTCAGCGTGTGCACTGCAGAAAAGCATCAAGGTAGCAAAATATTTAGGCCTTGCTAGTTTTCTTTCTGAAAGAATATAGCAAGTTCATACATGAGTATGTACAGATACAGGTTGGTTTTTTATGAGAATGGATGACTTTACATTTTCAAATATAGAAAGTCACTCTTGCTTAGGAGATTGTTGAAGTAGTGATGGCCAGTTTCTAGGCTAGCGACAATTTCAGCATGCAGAAGTACACGATTCAACCCAGAACTGTGTACTGAAGGCTTTAATATAAGTTTTCAAATTTAGATAAGAAAATGGAGAAAAGTCTCAGACTTACTGCTGTTTTGACAAAAAGTATGTATGCAGGTACACAGGATGTGATTTTGTGTAAATGTATGTATACAAATAGCTTACATTTTGTGCAAATAGATATTAGAATTCAAGTTATCTTAAGTACACCGCTGTAATATAGCACATTATGTGCACAAGTAGATAATGAAAATGTATTTTTGTTTCATTTTTCTGCAACTTCTTTTCCTAGGAACTTATACTAAAGGAAGAGGAAAACACAAAAAAAAACTGGGCCATAGTTTTGTGTTTGTGAAATCTGAAAAATGTAGATTTCACTTTCTTTTATTTTTTTTTAAGAAGGGTTTTAAGAAAAGTTATAAGACTAAAAATGACAGCTAAAGATCATAGTCCTTTTATGGTCTCAGGGAAATGAAGGGTAGCTATATCTAAAGGCATATGAATATAGGTTGGTCTCTATGATCTCGGAGGCCTTTTCCAACCTGATTGATTCTGGGTGAATATTGCACTGGCAAAACTGCAACAATAAGTACTGCATGAGGCTGTCACCTGAGTGGAAGCTAGGGAAAACTGATGTTCAGAAGAGCTGAGCTGATGTGGTAGGAACTGTGCAGTGTTATCCCAAGCTACTTGTTTGCTTTTTAGCTCAAATGAACTGGCCATTGTGACATGGTGAAGTAATGGAGGTGCCCTAACCATTACAGTTCTATGCTTACTCAAGATTTGAGAATTCTACCTCTGGAAAACAAAAAAGAAGAAAAAAGGTAAAACTGATTAAGAAGTAGGATTGATACCAAACCATGATTATTCGCATCATGCAGTGAAGATGTTGTGGCCTGTGTACTTGTGACTGGACTAGCATGAGTGGTGTGGGTACAAATCACTTGAATCAGGAAAGATGAATCATTCCTTGGAATGTGCCATGTAGATATACCTAATACAATAAAGTATATCTAACCTCCCCAAGGGTTCCTTCATGCAAAGTGCAAAACGAATATGTAATGTTTCTCTTAAGTATGTTTTAGGAAATACAAACTGATATTTTCCTTGTATTTCACAAAAATATTTATTATTTTTTAAATGAAATATGTCTCTCAGGGATGTTCAAAAAATGCTTCCTGGTTTTTCTTAAAATTTATTCCAGTGTGATTACAATGTAGATAATTTACTGGTTGAAGCTGAAGAGCATGCTATATTTCCTGAAAATTATCTCTTCATTACTTTGTTCTTTTTCTGGGTGCCAGAACCAATATCTGTGATGGATTCTGCAGAAGATCATTCTGAGAAACTTGTTAATGAAGATACAAGTGGGAGTAACGATGATACGGACAGTGTGTGTAGTGACAGTGAGAAAACGGGGTTCACTGCAACAAAGGAAGATGAGGACAGAGGGAGTACGATCAACACTGATGAAAAGGATAAGATCAGTGACAAAGTGGGAGCAGCTGTTTTGCGGATGCTTAAAGAAGAGGTAGATAGAGAAAAAGAAGTCAAAGACATAGATTACAGTAGCACTGAAGAAGTGAAACAGGAAGCATCACAAACTGAAGATGAAGATTTCAGAGTTGTCCAGCACAGACGTGATCCCCGAAGCCATGGTGAGGAGCTGCTAATAGCATATGCTCATGTCTATTGCGTTATCGTACATTTTGGCTCTTTTGTAATTAATTGATGAGTTAAGGTTATATGGTTCTATCAATAACCATGTATGTGATTATTTTAGAAATGAGAAAACGTCCTGACTTTCTGAGGAAGTTGAGGGGACATGTTGGGGCATCCCTGTCGAAGGCTTCGTAAGTATGGTGGGGCTCATGGGAAAAAAATGCAATAAATGGTAATAGAAATAGTTTCTTTGAACTAAGTAGACATCACAGTCCTTAGAGAAAGAAGCTATGTGCTTGTCACTTAGGTTTGTGGTAAGTCAGGAGACCTAAGGTCTCCTTAGGATTTCATACTTCCAGACACATGAAGGAAGATTCCTAGTACAATAGAAAGTCTGCCCAAAGAGTAGGGATTGTCTGCATGTTTAGGAACTGATCTACAATTTTAACTATTGCAATTTATTTTTTTTCCAATTCTTTTCATGCTTTTTTGTGTATTTTTCCTCACATGTTTTAAGTCTACTACTTTTACAGTATCTGAAACAGTTTGCCTATGGAATTTTCCTTTTCATTTATACCTTCTGTAGTTTTGCATGTCAGTTCTCATGCATGATATTCTGCTGCTTCAGATTTGGATTCCTTTCCCTCTTTGATATGGGAAAGGAATTAGCAGTAGTGACATTCACATTGCCAGTGAAGTGTCTCCTCTGCATTCTTGAGCTCGCATAAGAGATTAGTATTAAATAAAGGCAGTAATGTGTAAGAAGTTTGCGTACTTTTTGTTCATGGAAGGCTACTCATTGCATCAGATAGTAGACTGGGACTGTGAACCAAAGGCTGTTGATCTCAACTGGAAGGGAAAGCTAGGTCTTCTCTGGTGTGGAACTAAATCCAGCATTTTTGACAGCCTTGAAGAAAACAAGCACGTTTGTACTATTAGCATGTATTGTCCTACTATGCATTAGCACTGTAATATATAATAAACAATGTAGTATGTAATAGGCAAACATGAAAGCAGAGAAGCTTTACAAGAAGAGCTTGCTGCTTCCTCCTCTGGACCTACAAAAGTTCTTCTGACTCCTCGGTCTGTCCTGAGTAAAACATCACGTTGCTGGATTTTCATAGACTCTTAAGGAAATGAAGAATGCATTCAATTCCTAGGATACATTAAAAAATGTTTATGCTTGCCATCTTCAAGTGCAAGGGATTTGTTTAAATTTTGACCTAAGACTCATTAATGAAAATTTTGTCAACTCTCATAGTTGTCTGAAATAGGGACCAGACGAAGAATTTTTTTAATTCTTTGATCTCTTGAAGGAATGGGTTGTGATTGGATTCTCTTGCTGTTAACGTGTTTTTCTGCAGTAAACATTCCTTGGATGAGAGAGGTCGTTGTTGTTGTCATGATAGTTGCTATTTTTAGTTAAAACTCAGGCAAGAAGGCTCTCAAAATATACTTTGTGATTACCTCCTGTGGGGTATTTCTTTTAGAACAGATAACACTTCTTGTGTAAGCAGACATGGACAAAGGGTGATATATAAGTCACAAAAACCTCAGATGCTACAAAAGTATCTGGAATTGTAAAGGAGACAATTGCTAATACATTCAGTAACTGAAAGGATTGCAACCTATTTAGGAGTTAGATCCAAGAAAGTTGATTTGCTATTTATTTTATTTATACACTTAATGTTTAATATATTAGTAAGCAGATTTCTTCTGTCCCATGTCCCCAGCTTTTCTTGGAGTAATGTTATGTACATGTTTTTTCTTTTTCTTTCAGGTGTGTCAATCTGTTAAAAGACTTTGTTGAGTCTGAATTCTTTGTGATAGATGGAGATTCCTTGCTACTTATGTTTATAGAGAAGAAAACACAATATCTAGACTTCTTCTACCAAATTGAATACTTTCTGCAGGATTTCACTGAAAAAGGAGCAAAATATGTCATTACTTTCTTCAAGGTACTGAAAAAATAACATTTTTTTTCTGTTTAAACCACTGCATTCCTTTTAAACCAATTGCTTGAATCTAATCAGGATGAGGAATCTGTTCATTGTGTCAACAAATGCAACTGAATAATTTCATTGTGTTTATTTCCCACAGGATGCAGAACAGATGTTCTTTCAGGATCCTCATTTTCTTTTCTTACGTACTGCACTAATAGAACACCTGAGGCACAATACAAGCGTAACTGTTCATACAGAATTTTCCAATTGTTTATCATCCGAATGGGAGATTTTCCTGAAGCAAAGCTATCCTTACTTCATCATCGTATCTGACACAGGATTGAGCTCTGACCAAAAAGACTTTTTATTTATTTTAATTGCTCATTCATTGTCAAAGAAAATCAATGTTGTGCTTGCTTCAGGACAGGAGTATGATCTTCTTAGAGTTTATGGATATCAAGTTCAGAGTGTATATAAACACATATTATTTTTTCAAGAGGTAAACTATGTGACTTGGTCATTGGTTTGCAATAAGGGTGTTAGTTTGACTTAGAAGACTTAAATAAAAATAGCTCAATATGAGCATTTTAATTTACGTATTAATATTATAAAGACTTGATATTTGGCTCATTTTCTTTTTCTTTAATCTACTGGTCTTGAAATCACTAACAGGTAAACTTTGTGATTGGTGGCAAATTCCTGCCCTGTTCTCTATAGTCTCATTTCACATCCTTTTTCACTTTTGATATGATAGCCCCTAATACAGGCTTTCTCTTATCTTCACTATCACTTGTCTTAGTTGACTTGTAACATGCCAGAGGAAGGCTAGTGTTTAGGCCAGTGATGTGATTTTTAAAATTTTAGTCAGTTTTTTCTGGGAGGCTGAGGATTTATTTATATCTTAATGGTTTCTATCTGTGCCTAGTAGTCCCTAATGCATTGTATCTACTGACTTTTGCATATAACTTTGACTTAGAATGAACAAGATCTGCGATGCACCTGTGAAAAACTAATCAGGCACAAAAAACCATTGATGCGTCTATATCACCCTCTCAAGCTGAAACTGAAAAGTATACAAAAAGAGGTAATTTGTCCTCTTTGATCTTTTTTCTTTTTTTTTTTTTTTTCTCTTTTTGTTGACGATCTTCATTCCTTTACCCAATATTATTTTCTAACCACAACTAGGAGCTCTCTGCCTTATCCTAAAGTGATGCCCTAAGTCTGAGAAGGTCTCCTCTGTGGCCACTCTTCTTCACAGCAGCTTGAAAGTGTTTCTTTCTTTAAGGTTCACTATAGTAGCATGATTCAGCTGGAAGCTGATCAGTGGGATGCCACTTAAGGGATGTTTCTTTCTTGGCAAATGCCTTTGTCCTGAAGAAGATAGAAACCGGCTCGTTTAGCATGAACCACCACTGGTGGCATAGTTACACCCTTAGCCACTGTGGGGGCTGCAGCTACTACCCTCTGGGGGAACTGTAGCCATTGCCTATCCCCATGGCAGCAGTGGTGGGCCAGAGTCAGTGCTGCTGCCAGCAGCAACCTCTTCTGTAGGGACATGCCTCAAAATCTAAACCTCACTGTTGCAGCTGCTAAGGTTGGCTTGCTCAGTTGACTATTCACAATCTGGGAATTTTTTTTTGAGAGCTGGAGTTGTAAGGTCTGTGCTTGCGTGACTAAAACAATGGTTCTACAATATTTTAACTTCAAAAAAATTGCTATTTCTATAGTTACATAGACACCTTTAATGCCTAATACACTCCTGCCATTTTCCTGAGCATAAAGTTACGCTTTATGCTCAGTGTTGTGACCCTTCTTCTGCCCCCTCAGAGAAAAAAACAGCAAGGCTTCCTTGGACTTCAGTGGGAATGATGTCAGTCTAGCAAGGTGAAATTTTCGTCCAGAAAAAATATGGTGTTACTCAGAAAGCATTCTAAAGCTGAGCTGCTGCCAATATTTTGTTTTATTATGATTATCTTTTCTGAAGCAGAGTCAGTAATTGAATACCCCAGGAGCAGAACCATATTAGGGTGCAGGAAGGGCAGATGGCTGCTCCCTCTGGGCTGGAGCTGTGGGAGGTCACCTGGGAGGGAGGGCAGGGCAAGGTCTGGGAGCCATGGCCTGCCCCACTGCCCCAGGTAAGAGCAGGACAGCTGGGGGATATCTGTAACCCAGGGTGTCAGGCACTTCCCTGGGAATGGGCTGAGCCAGAGCAGGTTGTCAGCCTGCAAGGCTGTGGAGAGCTGGAGACCAGCACTGCTGCTACATTTCTGGGGCAGGAGTGACAGCCTGAAAGGGACTGAGGTGGGGCCCTGGGCAGGTGGGAGGAGGTCCCAGGGGTCAGGCAGGTACAGTCAGGGATGTTGGTGCCCTCAGTGACATGACAGAAAGGGGAAATTTTTACTAATGGTTGTGCCCACTTTTTCTTCTGCTGTTTTTTATCCTTTTTTCCTCCTCTTCAATGGAACTCTGTACAGAATAAGAGTACTCTCTTTATTTTGGAATTTTTATTGTGGTGATAATTTATGCTATTCATAATGTTATGACTACAGGTTTGCCAAGCTATCCATTTGTTGAAACGACTGTGGCCTGAAGGATCTGATATTCGCCGTGTGGTCTGTGTTCTTGCTTGTGCCGTGGGATTAAAAATACACAGCAGCATGTTGGGAAATGCAAATACTCCTATGGGAGCAAACAGAAAGCGATCAGCAAGAGTAAGAATTTTGTAAATATTTTCTCAGCATGGTAACCCTAAGCATTTTGCTAAGAGGAGAGATGGCTGTCCTTCTAGATCTAAAGCTGAAGAGGGACCCAGATGCCTACTTTGTGATTACACTAAGTGGTTTGGGTCAAATAATTTCCTTGGCCACAGCTTTTCAAAGGAGCATGGCCTCTTTGTGGGTGGCACTGCCCCACCCTGTCACAGTGGCTGTTTCTGGAAAAGTTTTACCTTAGGAACAATTACTTTCATAGAAAGTTTTACCTTAAGAAGGCAGTTGTGCTCACTATTTTTCTTTTCCTAACACTCAGTGCCATACTAGCTTTTACAGAAGAATATGCTTTTCCTCAAGTTAGTGAGACATTTCAGTATAAAGGTTTCTTTCCATGTGTGGTCATTTTTGTGACCATATTACAAGGCTTGTATTTTCATCAAGTTAACACAGATGCAATATGTCAGTAATATTTTATTATACACATATTCAGTAGACTAGAGGATAGCTACAAGTAGTTAGCAGAGCTCAATTTCTGTACTGAGTTTTTGCATTTCAGTTAAGAAAAGAGCATAGGCCTATATCTAGACATTAAATTTTCCTCTTAAAATAATAACAAATCTAGTCAGACAAACTGAAAATTGTTTTAAAGTTTTGTCTTGGTTTTCATAGTCATATTCCTCCTTGGAAAAGAATTTATTTTTTTTTTAACATTATGACTGATCTGCATCTGCCAGCACTACAAGAATGTTCATTTTGAAATAAGTGTGGCCATAGGTAATTAAAATGCTCAAATTGTCTAAATAGATCAAAATTATTAGGTGCTTTAACAAAGTGCACACCACTGAATTAAGTAGTGGTGAACACAATTATTCTGCTGAAGGATATGGCCAACTTTTTATCTGTCATCTCTCAACAGAGAAGTAAATGCCTATCTCCAGAAGAAGCAGCTGACCTCTGCAGGATGCAATGTCTCACAGTGACTTTTCTTCTTCATATGCCTCTTTCACAGAGGGCTCAGATTAGGGCCATGAAATTGCGCTGGACAAAGCAAGTTTTACCACTGATAAAAATGGTATGTATAGCACTGTCTTAACTTCCTCTGGCATAGGGTGCAATTGTCATTTCAGTGTCATTTTCCTTTATATGCTGCTTCAGTCATCTGATGAGATTAAAGAATGTAATGTACCCACTGGAAACAAATCCTTTGTTTGTTTCTGAGGCTGAGATACTGAATGCCTTCTTTGCTTCAGTCTGCACTGTCAACGCCTGCCCTCAGAAATACCTGACCCAGTTGACCACGGAAAAAATCTGGAGGAATGAAGACTTTTCCTTGTTTTAGGAGGTTTGGCTTAGGGACCATTTAGTCAAACTTGACATCTAAAAGTCCATGGGCCATGATGCAATGTTCCCACAAGTGCTGAGGGAACGGGCCGACATCACTGCTAGACCACTCTCAATCATCTTTGAAAGGTCATGGCAGTCTGGAGAAGGTGCCTGAGGAATGAAGGAAAGCAAATATCACCTCAGTCTTCAAAAAGGGCAAGAAGGAGTATCCAGGGAACTACAGGCCAGTCAACCTCACCTCAGTCTCTGGAAAGGTGATGGAAAAACTCATCCTGGAGATCATCTCTATGCATGTGGAAGACAAGAATAGGATTAGAACTAGTCAGCATGGATTAGCGAAAGGGAAATTATGGTTAACCAATCTGATTGCCTTCTGTGATGAATCAACTGTCTGGATAGATGAAGGGAGAGCAGTGGATGTTGTTTACTTGGACTTCAGCAAGGCTTTGACACTGTCTCCTATGACATCCTCCTAGGCAAGCATGTGTAGGCTGAATGAGTGGAAAGTGAGATTGATTGAGAACTGGCTGAAGGGTATTTGGTTGTGGTCAGAGGTTTGTGGTAGTGGAACAGGGTCTAGGTGGAGGCCTGTCACTAGGGGTGTCCCTCAAGGTTCAATACTGGTCCCAGTATTGTTTATCTTACTCATCAGTGACCTGGATGAAGGGGCAGATGCCTCCTCAGCAAGTTCACTGATGACACAAAGCTGGGAGGAGTGGCTGATACCCCAGAGGGCTGTGCAGCCCATTAGAGGGACCTCAACAGGCTGGAAATGGGCAGAGAACTATCTGAAGTTGAACAAAGGAAAAAGCAGGGTCCAGGATCTGGGGAGGAATAACCCCAGGCACCAGTACAGGCTGGGGGCTGAGCTGCTGGGAAGCAGCTCTGCAGAGAAGGACCTAGGGGTCCTGGTGGACAGCAAGCTGTCTGTGAGCCAGCAGTGTGTCCTTGTGGCTAAGAAGGCCAATGGTATCCTGGGGTGCATTAGGAAGAGCATTGCCAGCAGGTTGTGGGAAGTGATCCTGCCCCTTTACTCAGCCCTACACAGCACTGCATTTGTACATGTACATGTACAGCTCCTCAGTACAAGAGAGGCATGGAGCTCCTGGAACAGGTACAGTGGATTAGGAGGCTGGAGAATCTCTCTTTAAGAGGACAGGTTGAGGGAGCTGTGCCTGTTGAGCACAGTCTAAGTATCTGAAGTCATAAGTATCTGAAGGGAGGGTGTCAAGAGGATGGAGTCAGGCTCTTCTTGGTGTTGCCAAGCAAAAGGACACAAGGCACTGGGTAGAAACTGATGTACAGGAAGTTCCACCTGAATATGAGGAAAAACTTTACTGTGTGACCAAGCACTGGAACAGACTGCCCAGGGAGGTTGTGGAATCTCCCTCACTGGAGATATTGACTGTCTGTGAAATGTGCTCTAGGACGACCCTGCATGAGCAGGGAGGTTGGACCAGATGACCCACTGCGTTCCTTCCAACCTGACCCGTTCTTTGATTCTGTGAAACCTTACCTGGTTCAGGAATCTTGTGAGCCACAAGTGAGTGCAGCTAGGAGAATGTTTGGGGCAAGATCTCAATACTTGACCTCTTCTTGGACGTCTCCATTTAGTCAGCGCTAGTGGTAGGGTACTGGGCTAGACTGAATTTTTAGTCTCATCCAGTATTTAAAGTTTGATGTCAGGCCCTTTTGTTGTTTAAAGCTGGTTATTGCAATGAAGGAGGACATAAAGGCATTTTTCTGATCACAGAGAAGTCAAGTAACAATGTGGTTTTTTTCATGTCAAGAAATCTGTGGTAGTTAACCTTCCTTTGGAGATGCTTTGATACCTCCACATGTAAAGGTGCTCCATAAGAATTAATTGTTTGCTTTATTTTAACAGCAACAGTTGTGTATGCATTTTGCTCTGGTACAGCTATGTGACACAAACAATTGGAAATTGGATTTGACTTACCTGCCTGATTTAAATGATGATTTGCTGCTCATAAATCTTGCACATTACTATGAGGTCGAATACCCTAAAGGTATTTGTCATTGTTGAACAGTTTGCTTTCTTATATTTTTTACTTTATTCAGCTGCAAAATGGGAGTAAAGCTGCTTGTATGGGCAGAAATGAACACAATTTTCTAATGACCCATAGAGCAATGGATACATTTCATGAAATAATAAGGAAACATTTTTTCTGACACCAAGTTTAGAAAATCACATATGCAAGTGTCTTATACCAGTACTTGTTCAGAATACTTTATCATGTCATATCTTTGATGTGCCACCTGTACTCATACATGAAAGAGTGGTATGACATAGGTAGCAAGAGTTCTGGATCACCATTATTGGGTATTCTCAATTCTGTTTGTTTTTTAGCCAGTTTATTATTAATTTTGTCTTAGTACAACACAGTCAGAAACTAGATTCACTCCCTACTGTCCCTGTGACATTGAATAATACTTAAACTTCAGATGAGATTGATTCAGACAAGGTCACGTACTGTCTTTGTCACAAACAGACAAGGTCACATACAGTAATTTGGGAGCTGGAGCTTTATGAACACCATCAGATGTGATAAGATTATCAAAAAAAGTTACCAAAGCTTACAGAAAAAGAAAATATGGGAAAAGATTTGTAGCAAATGTTCTTTCAGAGTAAATGCTTGTGAGTAATCCTCTGCCATGAGTCTGTCTGTGTGACAGTAAATCAGAACACTTTATAAATCTAGTTACAAGAGGTCCTGTATGTACCTCAGTAAAGCAAATGTAGAGGAATTTTTAAAGAAAATATAAATTAGGAATACAAAACATTTATTTTTATAATGATACGTATTATTGGGCACAAAAAAAAAATTACCAATTCAAGATTGTACCTTGTAGGAGGCAAAGGTGGGAGAAACCCTTCTTTAGCTGTAGGGCTTGCAGACTTTCACAGACAGTCTAAATCTGCTTTTTTTTCCAAAACTCGTATTCTCAGTACATTTAGTTATTTGCACTCTGGGCTGTTAAAAACTGTGGAGGTACAACATTCTGTTCTAATTTGTTCTAGTGACTAAAGCCCTTGTATAAAAGTGAAGTTTTTGTGCCTAATGCTGTGTGGGTAAATAGATAGGTTCAGTTTGAGTAAACTCAATTTTAAAGCAACTTTTTCTTTTTTCCCTTCCCTCTTTCCTGTGCAGGATTGGAGTTCCAAAAGGATTTGGGGAAAGAAATGGAGAATGAGTACCAATTTTTATGGGACACTGTAAAAAAGTTGGCTGTGAAATACAGTTTTGGAGATGCTTTCCCAGTACGAAGAACATCCCAAGTATTTCTTGAACAGGAGCAGACATTATTTAGAGGTACTGGCAACTCCACATATTAGTGTGTTAAAACCATGATCCTCATCGCTATCACTAAAAGTGCTGGGAGTGGTGGTCTGATTTTATTGTGATCATGAATCTAATCCATGCTTCGTGGATCTTCTCCTCCATCCTTCCAACCCACTAGCAAAACTTGCAGCTGATGCAAAAAGAGGTCTGACCTGGCCTTATGGGTGAAATTCTGACTCCACTGTGGACAGCACAAGTATTGTTATTAATTTCATGGGGAATTGGGTTTAGTTCCATGACTACTAGCCCAAATCTACTGTATGTATGGTAAAAAACATTATGAGTAGTGTAATGCAAGTAATAGTAAAAAAATATATTAAGTACTCATATTTAAAGTAATGATTATGCTCTAGAAAGACTGTCTCTGAGGGACATCTTTGACATGTTGTCATAATGTTAGGCAGATACTGGGCATGGGAGCAGCAAATTAGTGGAATATAGAACTGTTACCTTGATGGTAGAGAGTCCAGCCATCACTGTAGCTCACACTGCAGTTCTTGGTGGTTTTAGAAGTATGAGTTGTCCGTAAGTGTCTTAAATTGCATCATCATCCTATAGCTCATAAATAGGGAAATGCATGATTGGCTTAGAGATGGTTTTCTTATCTCACTTACAGGACCTGTTCTGAATATCTGAAAGGATTAGGTAGAATTTTTTGCCTGATATCTGACATTTCTTGAAAACCAGCTTTGTTACATCCTTAAAATATTTGTTTTAAACTTATGAAATTGTCTTAATCTTTAGAAGAGACAGTTGATAAAAAAGTCAGTAAAGGCTGGACTTTACTTAAATTTGTGAGTGTTCTTCAGCTGGTTTCAAAGATGTCAAGTGGGCAAAGTAGGTTCTAGTGGGCAAAAAAAGACAGTTTCTTTGTTTTCTGTGGGATATTAGGACATGTTTTGGCAATTCTATTACCTATTTCTGTACCTCCTTTGGCTGAAGACCAAAACTGTGGCTGGACTTCAACTGTGTGAAGGGTGTGCAATGTTACTTGTAGTCTTTAGTCATCAAACGTAAGTGTGGTTTAGGAAACTGTGATATTTAGGAGACTCTGATCTGTAACCAGTGCAGAAACACAGATGAATGTGAGATGGAATTGGCTGTAGAATTCAAAAAGTTAGCATAGGTGTCTAAAATGTATCACGAGAACAACTACTTGAAAGCAATATTGATGTTTGCTTCACTCTTCTTTCCATGCTTGAGAAGAAAAAAGTGGAACTAGTGAACTGCTGGTTACTTTTAGTAAATTTTAATTTACAGATTTTAATTTATAATGTAACTTGACAGAATTTTTAGGAATGATGTGCAATTATATATATTCTTAATTAAACAATACTATTTTTTTACACTGTAAAGTCTATGAAGAAGAAATTCCTAACGTTGGACTAATTCCAGTGAAATCTGATATTGTTCAAGATTATGTTGGAGATATTTTGAAAGACCTACCTGTTTTAAAAAGGTACTTATACATTTCATTTCTAATGAAATAATTATATGGGCTGATTTTCAACTCCCCTGCACTCTGCATACATATTATGCTAAATTTTTACAAATGTAGAAATGTTTTTTATTATGCCTGGGTAAAATATCATATACACATTTACATTAATTGGTGTAAATATTTACAGAAAATTCAGAAGAGGAATGGTTGAGAATAAATATTTCCATATTTTCTCATATTGTTATTTATTTGCATTATAGTATTTGTTAGTCTAAATTCTTGAACTGTTTTTCTAAATGTAAAATTTGTGTTTGAAAGGCCTTATCATAATTTGCAAAGCTCATATTGGTTTCAGGAAAAGAAAAACATTAAATAAAAACACTGAAAAAAGTAGGAAGAGGTTATCCTTTACATTTGCTCTGCTATTTGTGGAAGTGGATTTTGTGCTATGTAATGAGTATTTTATAGTCATTGTGTGAATTATGTAGTTACATTGCATTCTGTGATTAATCTGTACGAAAATAAATGAAAAAATGATGTTTTACTTTGTTAATATTACTTTCTAAAAAATTGAGGCTATCTTAACACACTATATTACCCCAAAGGGAAGAATTAAACCCTTTGTTGTTTTTTTGCCGCAATAAAACTGTGTTTTGATAAAGACTCAATTTTCAAATGTTTCATTAGTGAAGCTAGAAAACCCTTTTAATTTCTGCTCTATTTAATATTTATATATTTCAGCAATGACCCTGCAATTAATTCACTTATTAAATACAAGGAATTCGATGAACTTTATCACTGGCATTCTGATAGACCTTTGACTGAGGACTTTGAGCGAGCGCCGTGCAGTGCTGATGGTAAGAATAACTAAAACAAAGCCCTTGGGTATGTGTTGGCTAGAACACTATTGTAAAGGTTGTTGGGGTTTTGCAGAAGGACTTTCATTTCATAAAACATTTGCAGCTGTACAAATACCTGCCCAACTGGAGCTACTGCAGTAGCCGAATTACGCTTCAACTGGTATGCCTGTGCATTATGTGTATGAATTTATATTGTTATAAATAGGTCTGAATATAACAGAATGAGCACTTAAGGTCAGATGTTCATCATATATTCCCTTTTGCCTGCAAAATGCTTCACAGATTTATGCAAACAGTGTACATATGAAGTTTAATATTTAAATATATAGTTTGGATAATGGCTAGTAAGCACATTCACAAGTGTGGAAAATCTACTCAAATGGTTGCACAGTGCATGCATAGCCAATCTTATCTTTTGGGATCAGAATTAAAATAAGAAGTAAAAGAAGTTGTTGTGGTTTAATCCCAGCCGGCAACTAAGCACCACACAGCCACTCACTCACTTCCCTCAGCTGCAGCAGGATGGGGGAGAGAATCAGAAGGGTGAACGTGATAAAACTCATGTGTTGAGATCAAGACTGTTTAATAGGTAAAGCAAAGGCCACATGCACAAGCAATGCAAAATGAGGAATTAATTCACTGTTCCCCATGGGCAGGCAGGTGTTCAGCCGTCTGCAGGAAAGCAGGGCTCCATCACATGTATCAGTTACTTGGGAAGACAAATGTCATTGCTCCAAACATCCACCCATTCCATCTTCTTTCCCCAAGTTTTATTGCTGAGCGTGACACCATATGGTATGGAATCTTCCACTGGTCAGTTTGGATCAGCTGTCCCAGCTGTGTTCCCTCCCAACTTCTTGTGCACCCCTAGCCCCCTCACCAGCAGAAAATGTGTTAACTCTGTGTGAGTGCTGCTCAGCAATAATACGCCTGATTTATCAACATTGTTTTCAGCACAAATCCAAACCACACCCCATACCAGCTACCATGAAGAAAATTAACTCTATTCCACTAAACCCAGCAAGAAGTAAATTTAGGTTTGTATTGTTCTTGATGTTACTCATTATAATTTCCTGTTAAGTTTTTTCCAGTTTATAATACCACGGAAAACAAGCCATGGACTTAGCTTTGAACTTAGATTGGCAAATTTACACAAAATTAATTAGACAATACTGTATGTAGCAGAAAGTACACAAAAATTTCTCTCAAAGATATTCCCATCATCTATTGCATCATGCAGTGAATGAAACTGTGAAAAACCTACCAAAAGTTGAGAATTCATGGGTTAGTGTTGGTAGTTCTAAGGTTGATTATGGTTTTTATTCCATGACTTAGAAATACTGTTTCCTGAGTAGGTATTTGTATTACTTGACCTATGAAACCAAAGTTTGATCTGCTCCTGTTTTTGACTGGATGATTTTTTGCATTCTGTGCACTGTGACTTCAGTGGGAAGTTTGGAGAACATCCCCTGTAGAACAGTAGCTAGAGCACCTTCCATAATGTTGAAGGTTTATGACCAATCCATGCGTGCCTTGCGTGAATACTCTTTCCTACTGAGATGGGTCTTCACACTTAAAAGCAAACTCATCATTTTGATTTTAGGACAGAGAAGGGCAGATGCTTGAGTGTGGAGGTATTCATGTGCTCAGTTCAGTATCTTCCATTGCCTAGCGTGTTATTCCAGAAGATTTATTTATTTACGTTCTGATGGCAGACTTGTTTTCTTGAGGAAGAAGTATCTTCTGATCATTTGAATTGCCTTCAGAAGAAGGTAATCATACCTTTCTATTTTCATGCACTCAAACAGTAATAATTTCCAGGCATCCTGGTTTTTATGTTTTACAATATTTTAATGTGCATCTAAAGTAGTCTCAATTTGGGTGTATCGCCTATCTCTCAGACAGTTCAAAGTACTGTTGGATTTCAGCCTTTTTCAAAATGTGATTTTGCCCTTTAGGTCAATCAGGAGGTTTTTTTAGGAAATTTGTCCATTACCCAGCTATCTTTGCTTGGCTAACAGATTAGTCTGGAGTTCTATCAGAGCATTTTTCAATCAATTATATTTGTTTGCAGCAAAATCCGAAAGTCCAGACGAAGGAAGGGAAATACGGAAGTTACGGAATTTTCGTCACTTTTATGGAAGCACTCTGGTAGACAGCCCTCCGAAACTTATTGTATGTCAAGAGGATGTGTCAGAGAATGCTAATTCTGCTGTCAAAAAGGCACAAAAGAAGCACGTGAGTATATTCAAGTTGCTCTTTCCAAATATTTTTTCTGCTGTCCAGGAAATGATTTCTACTATATGAGTTCCACAGCTGAAGTTTTATATTCTGAATGTACTAGTAGTTCACACGTGAAGAAATTTAAATTGGTTTTGTTCTTCAGATCTGATTAGCTAATTGACAGATTTTTTTTTGTTCCTAGTTAAGAATATTGATGAGTGACTGTATATTAAAAGGCATAAGTAAAAAAAAAATTAGTAAATATGAACTCTGTAAAGGTTAAGGGGTTTTGGCTCATGACCAGTGTTATAAGGTGGAGTGAGGGAAACTGGGTTTCATTAATTTAGTTTTACTTTTAGAAACTGTTGAGAAACACTAGGAAAAAACCCATTATTCAATTACTTATTTCTCTGCACTATTTGGAAACATACTTTGTGAAAGGTCCTGTAGATATTGCAATTACTTCTAACTATGTGAATATTGTCAGACATTAAAGGGTATGTAGCATGTGCTTGCCTACTTATGAACAATACTGAGCAGTGGTAATTTGAGTAACATTTCATAATAACCTGTAGTATGGATTACAGATCGTGAACTGTTGAATTGCCATTAAAACTCTGTATATAAAATAACTTTACCTTCAAGTAACTTTAAACTCTTAATTTTATTTAACTTACTGAAGAACATCCTAAAATGATTAGAATTATTATTAGCCATATACCAAATTAAAGCTTGAAATTTAACTTTTAGACATTTGCTGTTATATTTTTCTACATTTTTTCCTTTTTATACTACTTGTGAAGCTTTATACTAACTTAAAATGAAGTTTAGGGAAGCTCTTTTGAGCAACATATATTGGGATTGATTATGTCTTCTTCAAAATGAAAATTCCCAAAACATAATATATTGTACAGACTAGTTGAAAGCTATAAATCACCTGCTGTGATTGAATGGTTAGCTTTTTTTAGATGATGCTTGGACAGAGTGATGGTTATTTCTAAATATCTTTATTTTATTGAATAGAAAAGTGAAGTGGAAGTAACTGTAAAGGAAAACATCAGGCCACTAAAAGCTAAGGAAGAAAAAAAAGAACAGAAGAAATGGCAAGCCTTATCTATGACAACTGTAAAGGAAATAAAAGAAAACCAGACTGTTGGAATAAATAAATTGGAGAAGTTTCTCAAGACCCTTAAAAGTAAATCTGTGAAGTTCAGCGTAGAAATGACAGCACTCTCTGCCTGTTTAAAAGTCTGGAAGAAACACTGCAAAGAGCAAGGTACAATAGCCAAATTCATGTTCAGTAGTCAACTTCTACTTCCTTTAACCAAGACAATGAGTGACTTGGGACATTCTCAACTGTAATAAAGACATGTAAATACAGCCCTGTTTCAGAAACATGAAAAGTGCCTTTACGTGTTAACAGGCTCTGGTCCCATCTTTCAATTTTGAGATAAAAAGTATCTAATGAAATTAAATTGTACCTGTTTCCCTGTGTTATTTGTAAACATTGCATACATAAATACTTAACTTCATTTATAGGTATTTAATAATCATGTAGCATGCACAGTAAAATGTATCTATATGTATCTATATCATGGATTGTTTAATTAGCTGAGGTGATTAGCTTGCAGTTTGAATGATGGCAATCTGCACAAGAAATCTGTGATACCATGGTTAGCGGCCTTCTGTTTCACCGTAATTAACTTGTTAAGTTCATACCCTCAGTCAGGAGACTCCAAACACACACTGCTCTAAACGTGTTCAGAAGAGTTGTAAACATTGGATTGAAACATGTTGCTAATAAGATTAACAAATTTGTGCATCAGGAAAGTAAAATGGGGGAGCTCAGTTACTGTGTAGCTGTCAGAAGTATGACTTCTTTTTATAGATGAGTGTGTCGAAGCAGAATTATTTGGGTGCTTGATCTTCAGTGGCCCTCATTGTAGAGGTGAAAGGAGAGTGAGTTGTCTTTGTCTAGTTGTCTTTAAGAAAATTAATCTTTTAATTGTTATAAATGTGGCTAAGGTCTGTTCTAAAAATATGTAATATCAGAAGATTCTCAATGATACAATCAGCTCTCAGATAACAGTAGGCTTTTTTTTTTTAAAAAAAGGAAACAAATCTAAAGATTTAAACAAAGCTGTTCAAGTCATGAGGAGAATTCATATCCTTCTTGAGAAATATCAAGATTTCTTGGAGGAACCAGATCTACAAAAGCTGACCAAATGTCTGAAACTCCTTGGATTTGAGAATTTAGCATGCTCTCTATCTGGCCAGGTAACTTTATAGTTAACTGGATCTGTAGCTGAATATTAACAGTGATTTCTTAAGCAATGAATAATGTGTAGGACATCAATATTGAGCTTATTTTATTTTGCATTGTGCCATAAGATTTGGAACTATCTATTCTTGCTTCAGGTATTAATCTTCTTTAGGTTCATGTATACATTCTTCTACTTGATGTGAGGGCTAGCTGGCAAAATAAGTGACTTCTTTTGGAAACAGAAATTTATATGGCTGCAAAGATACCCTTTGTAACAGACACCAAGATTAATTTGCTCTAGTTATGTCTCTCTGAGGCCTTAGATGCGTCTGAGAGGTACCTGAAGTTCAGTCCATTGCATCAGCTCAGCTCTGCATGTTAGAAATAAGTGTTAAAAATCTAAGCAATGAGTAGCTGCTCTTTAACAGGTCCAGATGTGCTGCTTTAGAAAAGGAAATCTTTTGAGACTGTGAAGGTGGATGAAAACTATTTTGTTTGATGTTATGGTATTCCTGATCACTTCTGAAGGGAACAGTTTCCGATACTGAATTGCTTGTCATTAGCACTGCAGAGACCACCAGTAGCTATACAGAATTTGGCCTGAAGTAATTTCTCCAAGGACCAACCTTATGCTTCTCTGCATGTTAGCAACCTGCCCACTGGCTGATTTAGGAGCAGTTTGATACCTTTATGTGCAGATGGTATGTTATTAGGGAGAGGGGATGCTAGAGTGGCTCTCAGGCAGAAGAGGGAGTAGGTAACTCCTTTTGCAAGAATATGAAGTCAATAGCAAAAGGAAGGAAGGTTACAGTGAACTGTACAGTCAGTATCAGTTACTTCAGTGTCTCATTTTTCAGGCACAGTACAGTTAGGAATTTTTGGAAGCTTATTTTTGGAAACTGTTTTTCATCCTTCCTTGAGGTTCAGGACAGAGGAGAGGGAGGAAGTGAATGTTTTGTAAGAAGTTTTCTTCCCTTTAAGAGTGGAAATTATTTGTCTCTTTCTCTAGGTGAACTCAACTGGTACATGATGATTACTTGCTCTTCATAATTATTGTAAAGGTGTTTGGTGTTCCAAATAAGCTATACTACATTTTAGGAGGTAGAATTAAGGGATCCAAGTATCTCAAAAAGTTTGCTATAAAGGCTTGGGATGACAGAAGACCTATATTGGCAAATTTAATTCTTGCTCAGAAGAATTGCTTCTACATCAGTCTGTGCATTTTGGACTTACTTTTGCTTTTGCAGCTCCTTGTTTATGATTATTACTTTTGCAAAGTTGGAGAAACTTTAGGAATAACTGAAATTTTCAGGAATAGCTGAAAATATTTATTTCAAGAAATTAAAGAAGTTGGGAAATCTCCATCCTTAAAGACAGTAAAAACTCATCTGAACAACCTGAGTGATGTATCTTAAGGCAACTGATTCTATCAGTGGGTTGGATTGACATCCAAATATCCATAGAATCCATAAGATTGGAAAAGACCTCCAAGATCATCAAGTCCAAACCCTGATAACCTAAGTTGTTATGTGATTTTCTGAAGTTTCTAGTGTGTTATACACATAATACTTTTCTGTACAGCTTTCAGGATCAGATGTTGTAACCAGATGCATCCATGAACATTAAATTTGGTATATCCTAGGGTATAGAGGCGTTCTTTAAAAATACAATACTTTACAAAATTTGGGATCACACTTACTTTATATTGAATTTCTTTTTGCAAGTGGCATTCACTGATCAAGGGATCAGGGCAGAGTGAAGAAGAGAGACATAAATATATGAGAGAAGGCTCTGGTAGGCAGTAGTTTGAAGAGGCTGAGCTTTTGCCTGCTAGCCAGTTTTGTTAGCTCTTCTGATAACAAAAGCAATACCAGCACTAATACTGGCTGTGGAAGACGTAGTAGTTTTAGAACCTAATCTCCTTTGAAGAGCACTAAGTGTAACCCTGACATAGGACTGTATGGTGTAGATTTCTGAGAGAAATTATTAAAAAATCACCTGCACTTTCATATGTTTTTCAGAGCTTGCACAGTTCAACAGAGCAAAAGATGTGCCATTTTCTTACTCTCTTTCTAGCTTTCAAACCAACTTGAGTTTTCTTTTCTCCTTATAGACAGGAGAAAGCAGCAATCAGAAAAGATGCAAATATGCTACTGAAGTGGGTTCAGCTCGCTTTCAGCTACAATACATGGATTGTTACTTGCTCAGAGAAGAGAGAAATGATCCAGATCCCCGAGTGGAACATTTCATACCAGACACATGGCAGGTAATGAGACACAAACTTTTTGCATGAAGTTAATAGAAATGATCTTTTTTTTGTCTGTCAGACCAAATAATTGAAATAGACATGTTATAATTTGTAGTTCCATGTTTTTTCACTAACAATTTAAGAGGGACGAATACAATCAAAATGCAAGCAAGTTAACTCTGACTTTCTGTAACCTAAAATCTGTATTTAAATTCTACATGCAGAAATAAAAGATGTTTTCACAGAAAGAGCACTCAATATGAACTTAATGACAAGATATATTGATGTAAGTATCTGCTTTTTCTCGTAGCGAGAACTTCTTGATGCTGTAGATAATAATGAATCTGCGGTGATTGTTGCTCCCACTTCCTCAGGAAAAACATATGCATCATACTATTGCATGGAAAAAGTTCTGAAAACGAGCAATGAAGGAGTAGTTGTATATGTTTCTCCTACAAAGGTAAGGCTGTATCCTACTACATACTCTGTATGGATGACTATGTTATGATTCTGAAGCTGTTTCGGGTAACTTGTTACATAGTTTTAGTCAATATACATTTTTTATTAGAAACAGAATATTTACATTCTGTTTTGTATTTACATGTATTAGAGCATGTTTACAGAAAATCTTCAAAATATTTCAGCTCACATAGTTTTTATCTGTTAATATTTGTATAACTAATTTAAGGTCAGAAACATTAATATATTAAAAAATGCTGTACATAGCATGTTTGGTAAATGATGAGAGTACCAAAAATCTACCAATATGATGAAAGTAATATTAGAAAGCAACAACTAAGCAAGTCATGTTTTTCAAATTGAGTTCCAGAGAAAATATATGAAACTCTAAGTTAGTGGGATGTTTCTTAGCGAGAATTTCATCCTAATTGTTAAAAACTGATTTAAGTGCTGAGGTACAGTGTTTTGATTTCTTCAAAAACATTTTTTAATGCTCATTATTATGATTTTTGGATAGTAAATTACATATGCTGTTACTTGAGAACAATCTTTATGCATTGTTTTCTGTAAGTAAAATCAAATTTTTTGTGTTTGGACTCAGACTATCAAAATTTCATTTGAATATCAGTCTGGATGCATAAGTATATTTTAAACATGCAGCCCAAGGACTTTGAGATCATTACAGTGCTTGTAGATGAAGTAGAATGTGATCTATTTTAACTGCTTTGAAAATAATTAAAATAGAGAATTAATAATGAATAACTCACTTTACACAGCACTAAATTCCTTTGAAAGCATTTGAATATAATTGACATTAAAGTACCGTATCTTCTTAAAGTTAATATTATTGAAAGTCTAGACTTAATAGTACATTATGTAGTACATTATAGTCTAGGACATTAATATCAGTGCCAAAATTGAATGCCTTTATATGTCTCAGAATATCATATATCTTTATACATACATTCTCTGGTTTTGTTAATGATCTGCTTTATTTAAGGCCCTTGTAAACCAAGTGGTAGAAACTGTATGCAGTCGATTCACCAAGAACCTTCCAAAGGGATTGACAATGTGTGGAGTTTTTACACGGGATTATCGCCATGATGTCATGAACTCTCAGGTATATTTTTATGGGTGTTTTAACACATAATAATAATAATGACTTCTGTGTTCTATCTGGCTTCTGAAAATGTTCATTCGAATTAGAACAATTGCGCCGTTGCTAAGTAAAAAGTTCGGGAAAAATCTGTGCATACCTGTACTTAAGTATTTAAATCTGTGGCATACAACCTCACCTCTTCATCATTAGCAGACATGTGGATGATTACTTGCTCTGGTTAAAAATAAAATCATTAAAATCCTTTGGTTACCAGCATACAGAAGGTGCCTTATAGATGTGCAGATGGAACACATCAGTAGCTTTTACCTTGTGTATTGATGTAGTCACCCAATTATAGAAGACCACTAGGCTGGTCTTACTTGTACTGGGGAGCCCAGAACTGGACACAAGACTCCAGGTGTGGCCTCATCAGTGCTGAGTAGAGGGGAAGGATCACCTCCCTTGATTTGCTGTCAAAACTCCTCTAGTGCAGCCCAGGAAATCATTAGCTTTCTTTGCTACCAGGGCACATTGCTGCCTCATGTTTAATTTGGTGTCTACTGGCACCCTCAGGTCCTTTTCTGAAGAGCTGCTTCCCAGCTGGACAGCCCCCAGCATATAGTGGGGAAGGGGCTTGTTACTCCCCAGGTAAAGAACTATGTACAGCTCTCTGTTGAACTTCATGAGGTTCCTGTCAGCCCATTTGTCCAGCCTGTCTAGGTCCATTTGGATGGTTGCACAATCCTCTGGCATGCCAGCCCCTCCTCCCAGTTTGGTGGCATTAGCAGACCTATTGAGGGTACATTTTTACTCATCATGCAGATCCTTAATGAAGACTTTAACCAGGATCAGACCCCCTTGTTGATCCCTGGAGTACATCTCTGGTTACTGGTTTCAGATAAATTTTGTATCGCTGATCACCAGCCTCTAGGCCCAGCCTTCCAACCAGTTTTCAATCCACTCACTCTCTGCTCATTTGGCCCATACTTCAACAGCTTGCCTGTGAGAATCTTGTGGGAGATGCTGTGTGTAAAGCCTTACTGAAGACAATATCTACAGCTATCCCCACATCTCCCCACATCTACCAAGCCAGTCTTTTCATAATATGAGTTAGTGAAGCATGACTTCCCCTTGATGAATTCATGCTGAATGCTCCTGATGACTTTTCTTGTTCTGTGTTTGCTTGAACATGATTTCTAGATTATTTGCTCCTTCACCTTCCCAGGATGGAGATGAGTGGCCAGCCTGTAATTTCCTGTGTCTTCTTTCTTGCCTTTCTTGAAGACAGCAGTGACAAACATGCATTCAGTCTTGCACACCTTGAAATCACATACATATTTTAAAATACTTTTTTAGTATAGAATCTGCTTGTAGTTGGTTACTCAGTTTGCTTGAAAATAATGTTTTGCAAACCTTTGTTCTTAGATACTAGTGACAGTGCCTCAATGCTTAGAAATCTTGATGCTGTCTCCTCGTTGCCAGAAATGGGCCCAACGAATACAGTATGTTATATTTGATGAGGTAGGCATCTTTTAATAGTAATCAATTTAACAAATATAAGAAAAACTTTGAGGAAAAATGATGGTGACTCGTTTTTTCATTACATACTTTATTACTGGTAAACAAACAGCTTTCAGAAGTATTATTTCAGACTTGCTTTCCCCTGTTTGCTGATAGCATTTATGTCCTCCAGTGAAAGAACTTAAAACTCTGTTATTCTTCAAGAGGACATACAATTCAATAAAAACTGCCAGGAACTTCCTTTATTTCTCTCAAGTCAGTCAACTGAAAAACTAAAAGCCATCACCGTAGTCTTGATGGCACAAATAGAACATTCCAGATTGGGATCATACACATGACACATCATACTCTGTTGATCAGACTTTCCAGGGGAAAAGTCAATGATTAATCTTGTTAAATTTAAAATTCCTCCTGTATTCTTTCTTGTAGATGGAATTAATCGCTAATGATGCCAGTGAGTATGTAGGGTACAAACAGTAAATGTAGTATTAAAATTTACACTAATTTGTTAAGTCTGGAGAGGTATTTACTGAACATTTGATTTGGATCCATGGTCATTTGCTACAACAAAAGGATTATTCAGTTCTAATCTTGCCAAACTTTAGATTTTTGCAAAACACAAAACTCCTGTTATGGGTACACGTTGATAAGTAACATTTCTTCTTTTCTTTTAATCCTTTCTCCCAAAAACCTAGGTCCATTGTCTTGGCAGTGAAATTGGAGCAGAGGTTTGGGAACATCTTCTGATGACAATTCGATGTCCATTTTTGGCACTCTCTGCTACTGTCAGTAACCCAGAACACCTAACTGAGTGCGTGTAGAACTTTATTGACCACGGGAGAATATTTTCATTAGTTATGAGCTGTTTTAGATAGAGAAGTCAATTAGTATTGGAAAGACAACTTATATGGAATTACAGTGTTATATGTGTTGTGCTACCCTCACTCCCCAGTTAACACAAAACAATACTGTAATTCTTATCTTGGTAGTGAGAGCACACTCTACTTATTCCTTCAGACTCTGTAACTCTGAGCTGTGTGGAAGAATTCAGGAGGCTTTTACATCTGTTTGAATTACCAAAGCACACTTTTCCATCATCAGTCAGAGAAGACACCTGCACTATACATATATATATGTATAAATAAATAAATAAGTAAATATATATATATATAATGGTACTATTTCGCATTTTTTTTTATTTGCACCCTGGGATTTAGAAAATTGCACTGAAATTAGTGAGAAGGGACTGGAAATTCTATAGTAGAAATTAAGCAGATTGTAGTAAATCATCTATTATAGTTGTACTGATTTTCTTAAAATATATTTTACAAATCTTATTTTCATTTTATTTTTGCACTGTAGGTGGTTACAGTCTGTGAAGAGGTATTGGCAACTTGCTGAGAATACAACAGAAGGAAGCTCTGCAAACTCTGAAAAGAACTTTACAAGAAAATGTAAAGTGAAATCTAAAGTACAAGAACAAAAGAAATCGTATCGTGTTAGACTAGGTGTGTATCACAATATTTTGTAAGTAAGAAATACACTTTCGTGTGGTTTCTGCAAAAACTTTAGTCATGATGTGTAAACTTCAATGTATTGTGTTTTGGTTTGCTTGTTGTTTTTTTAATAACAACAAACCTTAAGGATTAAACACTTTCTTTTTTAAACAACCAAGTGCAACATAACAACATTTTTGTCTCTTCACAGTCTTGTATGAAGAAAGATACAATGATTTGAAAAAATATTTGTGTTCTCTAAAGGGCAGCGATTTTACCATTGAACATTACCATCCATATGCGGCATTAACAGTCAGTCATGTAAGCATAACGCTGGTGTCAGCATTGTTTAGCAGCTGTTACATTTAGGCAGCATAGATTCCATCAAAAATATTCCTGTCTTTTTCTTTTGTTTATACTCCTTGCAGATTGAGAACTATGGTATTCCTTCAGATCTTTCTATGTCTCCACGAGAGAGCATCCAGCTTTATGACACAATGGTAAAAGTCTGGCAAGAGTGGCCAAGGGCACAGGTGGGCATACACGGCTGTGAGCAAAATGTATCCAAATAAATAGATGACAAAGTACTAGAGTAACAGAGTAATAGATTAAGAACTCTTTGTATTAACATTAAATATTAATATTGTTCCAGGAGCTAGATCCTGAGGAGTTTGTCTCTTTCAAGAATAAAGTAGTAATAAAAAAGGCAGATGCAAGGAAATATGAACAGGAACTGAAGAAAGAACTAAGCAAATGGATTGTGCTTGGCCAAAGGCAGAAGGTAACAGTTGCTAGAGGGCACTTTCTTAAGATTTGTCCAGCTTTAGTATCATAGTAATTATATCTAGTAATATAATTATGGGAGTTTGTCCATATTTCTCAGGTCTAATTGTTGCTTTACTTGAAAGATAAGCACTATTTGTAGCATTTCCATAAGCATTTTTAAGGTGATGTTTTCACATCTCTTGGAATCAGACTTATGATACTGCTGTGAGATATCAGTTCGTGATTACTTTGGGTACCTCCTGCAATTGATGAGAATATTGTACCTTTGCTCTGCTTTTTTAGTCTACCTCTTTTTTGTTGCTTATATGAAACCTTCTGTGTAACCACAGACATTATGTATGTTCCCATGTAAAAGGCAGAAATTCAAGCAATGAGCTGAAACCCAAGTCCTTGTTTTGAGGCTACCTATTCCTATGTCATAAAAAAGAATACGACAATGTGATTAATTAGCAAGGAAAAAATAATATGTGGGGAAAACCCCAAAGTTCTTAAAATATGACACTTAAATGTGAACATATTTCATAATCAGTGTTAGTGATACTTTATTATTTGCACAGTGGTGGTAGCCATAAATTCTATTTTGAGCTCTTGCCAAAGTCAGCTGATAAATTGAAGACCTTTTATTCTGTAAACTATAAGTAACTATTCATGTTCTGAATGATTTGAGAAATTTGAACTGATAGATTTTGACAAAGGAAAATGGAGTCTTTATATTTGTTAGATTCCAGACAGAGTATCTGCCATTAAAATCTCCACAAAAACATTACTTTCATCAGGTGAATGAACTACTGGAGCACCTTAAGCCAAAATCTGAGGATTGCTCAGGAGAGGAGAAGATGAAGCATTTTGCAAACTTTGTTGATAAGTTACATGAGATGGATAAGTTGCCTGCCATATTTTTTATGTAAGTATGTACATGTCATGCATTATACATGTATTGCCTATATTCAGAAAAGTGAATATGGAGATAAGCATTGATATGGCATGGCAAATGCCATTTATGTGGTATTTATTACCTTTGCTTTAAAAGTGAAGGTTTGCAAGCTCTCTCAACCCAGGTATCTTTATGGCACTAAAGTTTAGCTGAAATAAAAATGGGAGCATTTAATTACTGTGTGGAAAGGGTAGAATCTATGCATGATGTCTGAAAAAATTGCAAGAAACTTAATTACATTAAAATCAGATTCTCAGTTGCTTTGCTGCAGTGTAGTCAGTAAAACTTGTGGAAAATGTATGCTGTCTGTTTAGAGGTGGAAATGATTTATGGCAGATTTGCCAGGGAAAGGGGTGAGATATGATTTAGTTAATGTATTCTTTTGTTATATGGTGAGAGTCTGACTGCATAGCCTCTAAAAATCTCATATCCAGTGAAAATGCATCAGTCAACTTGGTTTGCATATGAGATGTAATTATGTAATATCAAACATGCACAGCTTTGATTGTACTGATAATACCAATATTGTCAGTGATATTGCTTATATTAGTAAATTAGGCATGTACTTCAATGCTGGACTTAATAAAAATAAGCTACTTATCAGTAAGCAGCTGTCTAGTGCATACTCTTGCTGTAATAACGCATCGGAACAATCATGTAAAATGGAAAGTTTGCTCATCTCAGTATAAAGCCTTGCCTCTTCTTGCATGAAACACTAGGATTAGCATGCTCACTGCAATTTCAGTCCTCACATGCTTTTGTGGAGATGAAAATTTTGCTCCTGATCTTGGTGATTGACAGATTTGAATGTCAATATTCTAATGAGTTGGATGCAGCCTCACTGTATGTGTTGCCAGCATCTTGTATAGTTTTAGTTAACATTATCTGTCTGCAACAAGAGGAATGAAAAAAAATTCCTTTTGAGAGTGAAGCTGGAGAAGTCTTCATCCCAGTTAAACTCCACAAACAGTCCAACAGTGAAAAAGCTATGAGGAAAAACAGTGATGTAGAAGATGAGGACAGGCACTGATTCTCAGTTGGGTAGTTGAGAAGAATTAAAGTGACTTAAGCTGCAGTTTACTTTATGTCCAAGTAGGAAAACATATAGTTGAGCATACTTCCTGTAAATAAGTTTTTGGTGGAACCATTTTACCACTCAGTTTTGTAATAATAGCTGTTTGAAAGTCATTGTGGAGTATGAGTTGGACATGGAATAGGGGTAAGCTTCTAATGTTTAGATTCTAACTATCTTCACATGATAGGGCACACTGAATACTATTTTAACAGCATTACATATAAATTTTAATAAAACTGTATTAGAGTTCACCTGTCTGATGTATATTATATATTGTTTGCTTGAAGATTTAACATCAATTCAGTGGAATCGGCAGCCATGACTGTATTCTCTGAATTGCTGGAAAAACAAAAGAGTGTACAAGGTCCAGATCCTGAGAGTGAAAAAGAGGATGTAAGGAAAAAACTAGGAAAAGTGACCAAAATGCTAACAAAATTCCCTGAGTAAGTATTATAACAATATGTTACGAAAAAGCTGACGTTTTATGACAGAGTGTAATTTTGTGATAACTTCTTTCTGGAGGATTGCACCTTTCAGCAGCACATCCATCTAGCTTGAGGTATAGTACTCCTGTTCTTCTTTGTGATCTAGTCCCCCATGCTGTTGCAGCAGCCTAGTGGCCGGTATCAGTGAGCAGTACTCACTGTGTAGTCAGGCAGCAGGAAGCACTGCTGACATTGTGTAAGGTGCTGGCACTACAACAGAAAAATCAAAGAAAGAGTATATGAGATTGGTCAATTTGGGGTAATTAACTACTGAGATATCAACATATCAGAATAGCTCCTTTTTCAAACAGTAACTTTAGTCATGCAAGTCTTAAAAACAGCGTAGTATTTGACCCTGGTTCTGGGTCAGCCACTGTGGGAGAATATTTTCATAGTTTAGGCTCACCAGGGTGGTGAATCTATAAAATACAGGCTCACCTGACTGGTGAGATCCTATTTTAATATTTGTCAGCCTTTTGTTTGGATCGTACTCCCTTTGTTTCCCTTTAATTCATTTTAAGATCATAGAGTATGGATTTTTATAAGACATTTGGTAGTTAAATATGGCTATATTTATCAGGAATGTCAGGAACATAAAACATTTTGGTTTTGTCCTCCTAATGACAATTTCCAGTGCAGTCTTTGGACAAAATACCATGGAAAAATGAACTTAGCTGACTTTAATAGTAGTAAGTGAGAACTTGAAAATCCAGTAGGAATTTAGACACATATTTAGATATTATATTAGATATTAAAAATTTGCCCTTTAAGTTTTCTCTCCCCACTCTTCTTCAAATCCTGTCCTAAATCCTTACAGTTTATGACATTATTGGCAGTAAATCCATCATTTTTTTCTTTTAATCCTTCTCCTGTGAAATATAGTTAGCTTACAAATTTGCTAATTGAGTTACTTATGGTCTCTGTCTTTATCTTTCTTAATTTTTGTCCTCTCTACTTCGTCCCAAATTACTTGCAGTTTTTCATATGAGCCATGATAAAATGAAGCTGTCAGCATTATCAGTAGATTTACATTAATAGATCTACTTACGAGTTTGAGCCTACAGTTTTAAAGGGAATCAGTCTGCATCTTTCAGTATCCAAAGAACATTTTGGAATTGAGAAATGTATGTAATTACAAAAAAAAAATGTTATTTTTAATTTTATATTTTATATAGGGATACTAGAAGGATGAGCGCTCAAGAAATTAATACAATGGAACTTCTTTTGGCTAAAAAAACCCACCTAGAAAAAAGGCTTAAAGTGCTAACTACTGTCCCTTCTGGGTGTACTTACGCTGATGATAAAGCAGTGGATGACGATGTAAGTAATTCACTGATAATTCTAACATTTTTTTGTATGTCTAAAATGTGTGTATTCATCCACAAATGCATAAAAAGTTCATAATGATGCAGTTGTACTTTATAACAGCATTCACTGCCTTCAAGAAATATTCTAAATATTTCCATTTAAATGCAATTCCAATCTTAGATAACTTTATTTTTAAGATGTATGGGCAACTTTCATTCTGCAAAATAAAAAGATGTTGACTTCTTCTTGCAGTAGGAGTCCTGGGATATATAATACAGTAATTCCTTTCCATGAATTTCCAGCAATGCAGTTCTATTACTTGTTAATTTGACTCCTGTAGCGTAGTGTATATGGCACATTTGTGTACTTAACAAAAGATTTTTGAGACCTTCATATCTTGTAAAAAATACAAAATAATAAATTTTTTTAGACTCCAAAAATTCTAGTCCTCATAAAGCAAAATTTTCTTTGCTTTTCAATGTGTTTATGTCTCCTGAGGAAAGAAAAGGTAAGAAAACCATTGAAAATCTGCAGATGTTTATCAGAAATATTAATGTATATATTTGCATAGAAATAATTAAGGAATAATTCATGTAATTAATTTATATGATGTTTTTTTCACCAGTAGTGGGTGACTGAGCCTTGATCCAGATTTCCTCTGGTCTAAATTTTGTAAAACATAGCAATGGGTTCATATAGCTGTCTCTTCATGGAGCAAATGTAATTGTGGTAAATAGCTCTTAATTATTAATTTGATTAAATGTCTTGATAATACTTTCTGCTTGTGATTTGTCTGGAAAGGGGAAAGTTCTGTGCATTGGGACCAAACTCATGATGCCTTCTCTTGGGAACTTTAAGTTCAGTGGCATTTCTGGACTGCTGTCAGCCAGTGTGGAAGGAACGCTGCTTCCCACAGTAGCACATGGGTTAAGGCAGTGAAGAAGTAGCTTAAACTTCAGAACAGATAACACTGAGCTGTAGAGTGAAGTTCAGAAAATACTGAAAAATTAACAACACCTGGTGATGCTTAATACTTGTTGCGGTTGATACTTAACATTTGTTTATTTGTAGACTTTGAGGAAGATTTTTCATCCTCTTACATTTGAGAGCAAAGGTTCTCTGCAGCAAAAAATGGCACTGAAGGGAATTGGGTATCATCACGGATCTATGTCTGCTAGGCAAAGACGAGTAGTGGAGATGCTTTTCAGGCTGGGATACGTGAAGGTTGGTGAATTGTTATCAAATTTTTTATTTCTTTTTAAAGTCTTAGTTTCTCTATGTATTTAATTTTGAAATACAGTGTACCTTTCACTAGTAGTAAAATATATTGCATTGACATGCAGTAAGTGCCACAGCCTTTTCTTCATCCTTTGCCTTTATATTTCCCCCCACATTTCAGTAAAGGATGGAGATTCTTGTTGGTCCTCCTTTTGTTGCTAATGTATTTATAGAAATATTTTTTGTCTTTTACTGCAGCGGTCAACCAAATGTGCTTTAGTTAAATTAGGTCTGTAGGTTTATTATATATTGTACTGTCTTCATGAAATATTTCAATTTGTGTTCAGTTTCAATATTATTTCAATGTATTATTTATTTCAATTTTCATAATAGATGTGGTATAACTTTCAGGATAAAAAAGTTTAATATGCAAATGTAATAACTATATGAATTACATTAAAGAGTGAAATTCCTTTATGCTCATAGCTCTGTTAAATTCACTGAATTAAAGCGTATCTATATGAGAAATTATAGTAAAATTCCTGTTAAGTTGAATATTGCAAGTGTTAGTTTTTTTCTTAAATTGAATATTACCATTTCTAATAGATACACTTGTGTTTGATATTTTACAGGTAGTCACAGCTACTTCATCTCTTGCTCTAGGAATCAACATGCCATGTAAATCTGTTGTTTTCACTGAAGATTCTGTCTATTTAGATGCCTTAAATTACAGACAGGTATGGATATAAAACACCCACTTTTTATTACAAGAACAGTATACGGGTATACTACAGTGTGTAGTCAAAAGACCTATTTCAGCAATTATAAGATTACAATTTCTGAGTGAAGTAAAGACATATATTTGGCATTTAGTTATGGAAGCTGGAAAAACAAAAGCTGTTTAGTTCTAGCCAGAGTTTTACAAAGTGAAAAATACACTGTAAAAACATACAGTGGCATTGTAATGATGAAAGATTGTTGAGTGGATTAATGGGGACATCTGAGTTCTTTCTGTCTTGGAAGTGGCACTTCACAATGCCACACGGCAATGTGTAGCTGAGATTGCAAATGCAATAAAGCAGAATGTCTCTACTCACAGCACAGCTTACTGGGTGGACTGAGAGACTCTAACCTCTTCATCAGCACCCGTTTCCTGCTCTTGTGCTACTTTTCAAACCAGTATTCATGAAATACTGCCAGTTTGCCTCAGGATCAAGAGGCCTTATAGGCTGTATACAGTTGATGGCATCACCTAGCAGGTGGCTCTCAGAGTTTGTGTGAGTGGATCTGTGCAATACCTGGACCTGTGTGCATCTCCCTTCGGCTGCTCATAGATATGTATGACTCCAGCTTTATCACATCATCTGGTACAAGGGGCAAGTCCTTACAAGGGGACCAGACAAAGGATAGGGGATCCAAGCAAGAGAATACACCCATAGGAAGGTTCTTCCTGCTCTTTTTTTTATATTCTCTGCTCTTTATTCTTTCTGAGACTACCTTTGCTCCAAATCTACTCAGAAATTATTCGGAACTAAAGGTAACTTGAAAACAAAGCTGGTGTATAGATATAAAAAAAGTTAAAATTTACCTTGAAGAAAAATAAATGTTAAAATGACATTTGAGAGAATGTAAGTATCCTGGCCAGTGTTCTTCCATTAAATTTGGAAGTTCATATTAAAAATAGTAAAGAAACATACCACATTTGTAAACCAGCTAGATTTGAGGTACAACATATTTTGCACACATTATTTTAATAATTCTGCATAAATGCTTTATTAAGACTGTATAGATTGTATATACAAGTTAGGTGTTTAAAAATTAATAATTTTATTGTATTAACAATATAATTAATAAATATTTTATTCTTAGATGTCTGGGCGTGCTGGAAGACGGGGACAAGACATGATTGGAAATGTGTTCTTCTATGACATTCCACTGCCCAAAGTTGAAAGACTTATCAAATCCAATGTACCTCAGTTGAAAGGCCAGTTTCCTCTGACTGTTTCCTTAATATTGAGACTCATGCTGTTTGCTGCGAAGGCTGATGACAAAGCAGATGCTAGAGCAAAGGTTTAATATTTTTTTCTTAACTTCAATATAATTTAATAATATTGTTTCCTTAACATGAGCAGAAAGTTATGCACTTCTCAAATAAACAGCCTACCCAAATGAAATGGTATACTCTGCTATAACTGCTTCTAGTACCTGTGCCATCTTCTCCACGGTATTCTACTGTCCATTGTCACACATTTATTCTTTGCAATAAATTTTATCATCAGAAAGAATGCCATTAGCACGAAGATAATTTTATCAACTTTTGTTCCGTGCAGTATATGCATTAAACTGGAGAATCAGCAACTCTTCCAATATTTAAAATTTTAGTTGTACTTGAAGAAAAGGTGTGAACATATATTTCCATAGGGACGATAAGTGCTATGAAGTGCTATCTCAGTTGAAACAATGACAAAATTCTATGTATTGCTAACTCATTTAAATACACATACTATCTATCTATAACCAAAGAATTCTTATTCTTGCCATTTAATGCAGTGACAACCCATACAGATTTCAAGTTGGTCAGAGATCTCCTCTTGTAAGTGTTAAGGAACTCTTACCTCCAGATGATCTGATTTTTACATCCACTTCAGCATATAGACACTTATTTTTGAGAACTCACTAAATGAATTCAGACATTTTAAAACTTCCTGGGTTTAGTTTAATGATATTTAAATCCTTGTCTTATAGACAATTCTATATGAATTTAATGTAATTAACTTTACAAACCCCAGCATAAATTTTGAATATGAGCACACATTTGACAGACAGAGGATACATTTGTTCACGAGCATTTCCAATAGTTAGGCATTCAATTTACATACAATTTAAATAACCTCCACATAGCATTTTTTAATCTGAGAACCAATTGATGAAACAAAGCATAGAAGCTGGATATTCAGTTTTTTGCTTGTTACAGTGTCAACATTCCTTTGGATTTCTGATTTCTAGGTTTTTTTACTTTCTTTTTCCTTTTTATTTGACCAGGTTATGTCAGTGTTGAAGCATTCACTGATGTCATTCAAAAAAGAAAGATATGCTGAAATATTAAAAATTTATTTTGTGTTTTCCTTGCAATTTCTTATCAAAGAGGTACGTTTTGACTTGTTCCCATAAAGGATAGTTCTTCTTAAATCTACAGATTCTTATTTGTTTATGTTTGCATGTTTAATGTAAAGAACCATTTACTTTTTATTTCATAGCAATAGGCTATTTCTTTGTGTTACAAATTTAAGAAAACATATAAAATTCTAATGTCTTAAGTCTGAGGTTAATTCTGAGCAACTTCTGTCATGGAATAAATTCAATAGGCAATGGTCTATAAGATTACTAATAGATTAGGAAAGTTAGAGTTGTGCATTTACATTATGTATGAAAATGAATGCATGTGAACTGATAGGAGTTTAAAACGTACTAAGGATTACATGATTTCCAAAACAAAAGTTTAGGAAGTGTATCTTGGATAAGACTGAAAATTAGGTGTACATTTCTCCATAAAAAATAGTTTTCAGTTTGATGGATACCATTTTGGAAAACTGTTATGCAGGACTCCATTTTGGCTTACAGCCAAGGACTACAGGCAGTTAAGTGATTACATTAACAAACTATCTGTGCCCAGGTTTCCCAGTCCTGCTCCTAGTTTGAGTCCTAATCTACATCTCTGCCTCCTCTTCTGGGTGTCTGCTGTTTTTGAGATGAGCGGTCTGATGCTTCTGTTGAAGAGGAGAATCTGATCAATGTACAGGAGAGATTAGTAATGTTTCCAAAAAGTTATAGTTAGGGTAAGAACAGGACAAATCCTGGCCCACATACCTAGTATCCTGCCTCCAATAATTAGTGTATTAAAAAAAAGACAACTGTATGCTGATGATTCTCTGGACACTCCATACTTGCTTACAGGGCACAATGCAGAGTGATCTCTCATAGGAGAGCTGTCCTGGAATTTATAGCCTTTAAAGGAGTTTTACTCCATGAGCTTGTCCTGTTGCTTTTTAAAACTATATAAGCTTCTAGCATCCAAACATCTTGCAGCAAAACATTTGACAGATCACTCTTGCTATGTTTTTATCCTGTCAAACATTTAGATTAATATTTTTCTCTTTAACGCACATTGCATCAGGTCTTAGTTTGATGACTGTGTGGACATTTCATTTGCGACATGATCAAAATCTATGAGGTCAAAATCTGTACTTGGACAAATTTTTGCCTTTCAGTGTAAGTTCAGTAATCTCGATAGGTACCTATACATTAGGCTGAAACATTGTTCTGAATATCAAAATTTTATATTTTTGTTGTATCTAATTTCATCTTTTACAACTAAGCTATTTTTTTGCTTTCAAATAAATAGGGCTACTTGGATCAAGAATGTAACCCCATGGGATTTGCTGGACTTGTGACACACTTGTACTATCATGAACCTTCAAATTTTGTTTTAGTGAGCTTTCTTGTGAAAGGTTTATTGCACAAATTGTGCCAGCCAGTTGAAGGTAAATAATACTCCATGCATGTTGATTGCAATATATGGCAGGGTCTGTAACTCCAATGATTCTGGATGCCTTCTTGCTGCTGCCATCTTTTGCTTGCCTCACCTTCATCTTCTGATCCTTGAGCTCTGCCTCTACACACTTTTAAGCATATGCTTAAATTTCTGTCTGAGAAAGCCAAGGCACACACATGGCAATGCTGGTATCATGAACTTCTATTTGCTGTTTGTGAAACATTCTGATGAGGTAAAAAGTAATGCCATACATAGAAAAATTAATAATTCTGACTCTACAGTAACATTTGAGTTCTATGTAGCAAATAAAATGGATGACTATGAATATCAACAAATGAAAAAGTAAGTACTACTAAGGTCCCATTACCTGAGTTAAATCTATTCTGTCCAATGAGATATGGTACAATATGTTAACATCTAGGAATACAGTAATGATTTGTACATACTATTAGTTGCTTACTAATCTACTCTAATCTACTATTTTGTATCTCATGAGTTGATCTTTATCCAATATAGTTTTGCATAACCTCTGTCATGACACCTGTTATGACAAGAAGCTGTTACATCAAAGAAACTCCTGAATGGGAGTTGTTTATTGTAAACAAACAAACAAACAAAACACACCTTTTTTTTTTTTTTTTACACTTTCATATTTAACCCAAGCACTTTCTGTTTTGACATAGGCTCAACTGTTTTTTCAGAAGATGTCCTGGAAACGCTAGTTCTCATTCTAGCAAACTTATTTGGGAGAAAGTATCTTCCAGCCTGCTCAATGAAATACAAACGCAAATCTTCCCAGTCAAAGGTAGAGAAAGCATTTGTCTTTACTGTAACTTATATTGTGTACTACTTCAAAGAACTTGTTTCCTTTTCTCAGCAAGACTGGTGTCCTTATGGATGTACAGCAGCCTGGTGCTGCCCACCCAGATGCTCTCTTACTCCTCTATCTCAGCACTGGAAGAAAATAGTATGAAGGAGCTCAAGCTCATAGGTTGAGACAAGAAATAGGGAGATTGCTTACCAGTTATGATCAAGGGCACACCAGCCTTAACTTGTGGCAAATTAAATCAATTTGTTGCCAATTAAAACAAAGAACAAAAATTTTAACACCACCTTCCCTTACCTCTGCTATCCTCAGGCTTAACTTTAGTCCTTCATTCCTGACTGCTTTACCTCTCCCCCATCCCAAGTAGTATATGACTGATAGGAAATGAGCCATAATCCATTCTTAACAGCTCTCTCTGACGCTCCTTCCTCATTCACGTCACCCCTGCTCCAGTGTGAGTCCTGTCTGTGGTCTGCAGTCCTTCAGGATAAATCTGCTCCATTGTGGGTTCTCCATGGGCTGTAGTTTTCAGAAAACATTCAGTGGCTCGGGTGTGGGGTTCTTCACAAGCTGCAGTGTGGATATCTGCTGTGGCGTGGTCCTCTCCATAGAAATGGCTGCAAGGAAATCCCTGGTCCACTGTGCTCTCCTCTACAGGCTGCAAGGGAATCTCTACTTCATTACTTGGAGCACCTCCTCCTCCTTCTCACTCTGCTCGAGTTTTGTCTCTATCTAGAGTGTTGAAGTTTTTGTGACATACCAGTGATCCAGAAGGACACCAGCATGCTCTGTGGTACATGACACTGTAGGCTTAAGGTTTTTTCAAAAAATGGGATAGTATTAGTGTGATTAGCATTACCATTAGTTCTGCACAAAGTTAACTTGGGTGCAGGCAGAGAAGTGAGACATTTGTAATGTGCTCCTGTTGGCTCTTCTGCTACGCAAGGCGTTAAAATGTTGGAGAACATAGCTATGGCTGGAACAACAGAGGAAATTTCTTCTTTATTAAACTGTTTATGTGGCCAGTTTCCAGCAAGCATTACAAGACAAAAAAAATGTTATGCATTTCTGAGAAGTGGTTAGTCATGTAGGAGGGATTACAAGTGGCTAATGGCAGCCATCAGTCTGTCATGTTGGTAAGGAAACCTGTTGAACACCAAAATAGACAAAACAAGAGCTGAGAAAGGCAGGCCTTCAAAAGGCCACTTATAGCTAAATAGAAATATCTAGTAAAGTTGTTTGCCAAGTTACTCTGTAAGGAATTTTATACTGTTTATCTTCCACGCCTTTTCTGCTTGAAATTCATGTTCATCTTTAAGGTCTGTTAATTCCAAATGTCCAGGCAGTCTGACAAGCTGGGTAAAGGTTGAAACTGCTCTTTCCTTCTATCAATATGCTATGCGTGTACTAATATTTTATGTATGGACTAATGTAGAATTGACATTTTGGACAAATTACCTACATTAAGCAATAAATTGCATGTTATTTAAGGTCTTCCTAGAAGATCTACCAAAAGACTTTGCAGATGCTTTAGATGAATACAACACCAAAGTACAGGAATATTTTGCTCATTTTCTTCTGACAACTGCCAAGCTGGCAGATATGGAACAAGAATACAAACTTCCACTGTCAAAGACAGGTATGAAGTAAAAAATTAATCCATGTTTATAATTTGTGAAATTGATTGTATTAGGAAAATAAGGTTAATTCTTATGTTGCAAAGAAAAAACTTATGATTTGAGATACAGTAATAAAAAGCTACAATTTCTATATCACTTGTTTTACAAGAATTACTGATTAATTTGTATGTGGCAGACATTTTGTATGAGAAAGGATCATTTTCGTTGCTATTCTTCCATTATTCTGTAGGGGAAAAAAAACAAAGGAACTTTTCCATAAAAGAAAAAAAAAATAAGTAAAATTATTGAATAAAAGCCTTTTTATCTGATCATCAGTACATCTGCAGATCCTCAAATGCCTAGAATACTTGAATTGCTTTCAGAATCTTACCAAAGATTAAATATTCAGCACGTGAACAGCCTTAAGATTGAAGTATCAATTAAAGAACATCACCATTTTTTTTTAAAATCAACTGAGTGAGTTATGCCAATAAGTGATGTTTAATAAGAAAAGCAATATGAAAGGGCAAGCAAATTACCAAGCAATATAGTTTGCCATTGGGTGAAAAATATTTAACTACCTTATAATCTCAAGTTACTTTCTGTAAGAGAGATATAAAAGCAATGTAATATACCATTATCCCATTGCCTAGCTCCTCTAAAAAAAATGCCTTCAAAAATACTATTTTTGCAATAAGAAAGCACTTCAAATATAGGCCATCCTTTATTCTCTCCTTCAACATAAGAGAGAGAGTAAAAGATGTTCATAAACTAAGTCTTCTAATAGTAACATTGCCTTTGTTTTTGGCATAACTTCAAGCTGTTAACAATTTTGGCTATAGATGAGTCAAGAAGAAAGGTTGAAGTCACAAGGGGGGATTGAGACATAGTAATTCTTATCATTAGAAAGCTCTTTCGTAGACACTATAATCAGCTACACAGTTCTTATGAACAAAATAAACAAAGATCTATCAAGAAGGATTTAACACTGGAACATTAACTCTACTTCCTGTCACTATCTACTACACTGAAAACTTACCACCTTTAAACTAGATTGCTAAAAGGGGGGTTGTGTCTCAAAAGCTTATGCTGTATATGAAACTTCTTGTCTAGACTTTACATCTCAGAATTGGCATGGCTCTGAACTAGCATCTTATTTGATGGACAACACCAAAAGCATATCTGCCATCTCACCTTTTGCATGTTTATCTGGAGTGGTTGATAATGATCTATTTCATGGGGACATCATTAATACAGTAAGTAATTTTTGCCTGGAGACAAGAATTTTATTGGAGTTCAATAAAGTATTTGTTTAATCACAATCTTCTTCCCTCTGTCTAATATGATACCACTATTTGCAAGTGTTACTCTTTAGGAGAAATAATTCAAAAACTGTCAAAAAATAAATATCCAGCACCAAGTAGCACCACCTTGTCACAGTGCAAAAATCACAGAATAGATAGACGTAGAAAAAAAAAATCTGTAAATTTTTTGCTTTCTTGCAAGGTCTCCATTGCTTTTGATTCTGAGACAAGTAAAAAAAAATTTCAAACCATATCTCCAGTTTGTTTTCTGCATGTCAGGAATTTTCATTTTTGTTTTTAAATCAACCACACAGTAATGCAATATGGCACTAATTGCTTTATAACTAGAATTGTGTTAGATAGCATATGAGTTAGCTTAATGCTAATATAAACCAACATGTTTACTGTCAACTTGCATTTTCCTGTGTTATTCTACGTGAGCTTTGCAGTATATTGGGGAATTAACACAACTCATAATTCTGTAAATAGTAAAAAAATTCCTATAACTAAGGATTTGAAATTCACCTTCATCCTTAAAATGTTCTGTGTTTAAGTGGAATTAATAAATTCAAAGCATCAATGAGTCTTAATAGATGATCTATGCATATGGAAAAATCCTAATCTAAAACTCAAGAGAAATAAAGCTGCCTCGTCAAACTTTAAATTAGGCAGAACACTCCATAGCTGCACTAGCAGTTTAAATCCCATTACTAACAAACTCTCTCCTGTGTCTATAGTCTAGACGTACTTGTGAAGATTTTTGGAGTGGATTAGAAGTGTGGAACTTTTCAGCTGTGGACCTAAAGTTGTAGGTTTGACAAAATAGGCATATAAACAAAACCACAGTATCTATTCAATAATTTTTTGTTGTTGTTTTAGGCCGTCTTACATTCTCTTGGAATTAATGTCGGAAACTGCCCCCTACTTCATTTGAAGAAGTACGATAATCAGGGAAGGAGGATGCCACTCAATGCATATGCACTGGATTTTTATAAGCACGGTTCCTTGACTGCATTGACAACTGATAACTGGTATGTACTACCATTTATAATACTGTTAAACATTACAATATGGTACACAACTTCATCGTTTTGGTTTTATAACCTTCTCCCTGCAGAATTTAGGGATGAAATAGCTGTTAAATATGATTAGATTAGTTGAATGTTTTAGGAATATTTAGGAATAAACCAAACTGAAGTCTAATGGCAATGGCTGTAAAATATTACCTGGCTATTCAAAATAGGACCATAAATGGGAAACCTTGACTTCAGCAACATGAGTCATTTTGACAGGCTCTTCAGAAGATTTTTTATTTAATCAAGCTTTTTTTCACAATGAAAAAGGAGATTCCCTGAAATAAGGAAGTCCAGTGCAGTAGATCAGAAGATGGTAACATAGGAGCAGAGAGATGTCAAAAGCTTGGTTAAATAATACAGAAACAGATTAATGAGTGAATGATCAGTGTCAAAAAATACAAGCATCCAAAACACAAACTCAGGCAAAATTTGTCAGTAATTCAGTATTTGTATTGGTACTGCTTCAAAACTTCCCCTTTTCCTATTTTCTAAGCATTTAGCAACTTGGCCTGATAAATCAATCCTACTAGGATTTCTCTTTAAAGGAAACAAAAGCAAAAACAATGCACAACCATACACTAAAAAAACCTCTTTGCCCAAGCTGGCCAACCACTATCACATGGAATCATATTTTCACATTTAAGTCCATGGTATATGCAGTCTTTCTCTCTTCTTTTTGCCTGGATCACATACAGTGCAGTTTTTCCAAAATTGGAGTTTGAATCTTTACTTTTAGGTTGTCTTGCCTGTATTTTTTAACACTGATCATTAATTCACCTTTAAACTGTTTCTGTATTATTTGACCAATCTTTTGACATCTCTCTGGTACCTTCTTCTGGACTACTGCATTGGACATCCTAATTTCAGGGACTTCCCTGTTCTTTATTGTGAAGAAAACCTTGATCACATAAAAAAACCCTGAAAGTTCTAATGATGAGCCAATCAAGCTCTTACACTTGATACAGCTCCTAACAAATAATCTTTGACACTCTTTCACTTCCTAATTAAGCAACTTATACACTGAATTAGTCCTCTCAGAAGCTAGATTTGAGATTTTCTTTATTTTGCTCTTACCGTTTACAGTCCTGTTCTCCTCTTCAAACTTCTAGAGATCACTTGCTAAATGCGATGTGTAATTTTCATCATTATCAATTTTGCCTTTGATCCTCACTGGCCTTCTGTAAATTCATTCATTAAATCCATCTCTCTATAAAATGTCTAGCTTTTAGTTCTTAATGAAGCCATTCACGTAACTGTTTTATTTATAGCCTTGGTTCAAAAAAGCTCAAGCACAAGCTCCCTCTCTCAGCTCCTCTTATCAAGTATCTTAATTTTTCTGTCATGCTCATAGCCAGTAACTTTTGAGTAAGAGAATACTACTGCACCCTGGGAGTGCTGTTGGCAGCATAGAATATATTCTGCTTTTTTGTAAACTCTTCAAAGCAGATTCTAATCAGAATAATTAGAATACACACTGCATGCAGTGTTATGGTTACAATAGAAGAGTTTGGCAATAATGCCACATTATAGACACACATGGAAATTTGCCAATTACAGTATCATGTTGATTCTATCAAGCTGATCTTGCCCATAGCAGGGGAGTTGGGACTATAAAATGTTAGAATGGCCTGGGTTGAAAGGGACCTTGAAGATCATCTAGGTCCAACCCCCCTGCCACAGGCAGGGACATTTTCCATTAGACTAAGAGGCTCAAAGCCCCATCCAACCTGGCCTTGAACACTTCCAGGGATGACACATCCACAGCTTCTCTGGACAATCTGTTTGAGTGCCTCACCACTCATAAAGAATTTCTTCCTAATGTCTAATCAAAACCTACCCGTTTCCAGTTCGAAGCCATTCCCCCTTGTCCCATTACTACAGTTCCTGGTGAAGAGTCCTCCTCTGTCTTCCCTGTAGCGTCCCTTCAGATACTGGAAGGTTGCTATGAGGTCTCCATGCAACCTTCTCTTCTCTAGGCTGAACTGCCCCAATTCTCCCAGTCTGTCTTCACAGGGGAGGTGCTCTAGTCCTCTTATCAATTTCGTGGCCCTCCTCTGGACTTGCTCCAGCAGTTCTATTTCCTTCTTATGTTGGGGACCCTAGAGATGATGCAGTAGTCCAGGTGTGGTCTCACAAGAACATAGGAGTAGGGCTGAATCCCCTCCCTTGACCTGCTGGCCACGCTGCTTTTGATGCAGCCCGGGATACAACTGGCTCTCAGGGCTGTGAGCACACATTGGTGGGTCATGTTCAGTTTTTCATCAACCATCACACCCCTAAATCCTTCTCCACAGGACTGCCCTCAACCCATTCTCTGCCCAGCCTGGATTTGTGCTTGGAACTGCCCTGACCCAGGTGATTGACTAGATGATCTTTAAAGGTCCCTTCCAGCCCAAACCAATATTGATTGTCTTTAAAAAAAAAATCAACACAATATTGATTGTATTAAAAAAAAGTGCTATTCTTAATTACTGGAAACTGACTACTAAATTCCTTTTCATTAATCAGTGGTCCTTTTTGCAAAATATAGGGTCTTCCTCATTGGTAGAAAGCTTACACAATCTCCTCTCAGATTAGCCAGCAGCTTCATCTGAAGTATAGTGTTCCAGTTTAGCTTGTGACAGGTTAGTTATTCCAATATTTGAAACCATGTTCCCAAGATAATATAAATAAATTATCTTTTCTAATATTACTCATGAGTCTTGTACGTTTAATACAATTATAGAAACATAAGCCTCTGCAGCATTATTATTTTAGGCTTATATTTTTTTCCACACTGATCCTAATGAACTAATATGCCAGTGTTAAGAGGTCATGCCATGTGCTCTCTGCATCCTTACCCAACCTACGTAACTGGGTTTAGAGGTGAAACAGTTATAGTGCATATACATTGGATTATTATTTTTTTATTTCTTCAGGTTAAATGAAGGAGATGCTTACAACGCCCTCAAGGATTTTTCACTCACCATTAAGGCTATTGGGTATGATAAACTTGTGCTTTTTAGAATACAGTATATTTCATTTTAAAAGCAACTTATGTAAATGAAACGATGTAATTTGTTTTTTTTTTTTTAAACCAGAATAAGTCTGAGTGAACTATGTGATGATCCAGATGATAATGTTCTACTGGCATTTAAACAACTGAGCGAGGAATACGAAGAGAAACTGAAGAATAAAACCTGAAGAATAAAAACAAACCCAAAGCAGCAGATATTCTTACCACACAAATAGCAGCCTTTAAGTTAGAAAACTTCTAGATCTGAGTCACCAAGTGAAATTTCAGAATAAAGCTTTAGTTATTAGTCAGTATCAGTAATACAAAGTTTACTTTAGGAAGTTAACCTTCACTAATTGACATTTTAGCAGCTCTAATGTCAACTAAATAATTTTTTTAATAGATTGCAAAACTAAGTAATCGTACATTATCTTTCAGTTGCACTTTTTTTTTCAGGCAGTGGCATATATGTTAAGACGGCTCTCACAGATATACTAAAGATTGTCACAGTTCTGACAGCTGGTGAGATTAGCCTCTCAGTAGGACAATATTAGAAACTTTCAGCTCCTTGGTGAAGGATGTTCAGCAATTATAATAAGATAAATTGTTCTGTTTTCCAAGATTTCTATTAAATTTTGAAATAGTATCTTCATGAACCATTATAAAAGCTTTTAAACTGGTCTGCAGGTTTAGTTTACAAAATTTTATAGAGGGTTTTACACCAGAACAGGGAAGTTTGATTAATAAAAAGTTCCAACCCTATTGCTTCATTTTTCAACTCTTTAAGAGTCAGAAAGATCCAGAACACTTCCAGCATACTTGTCAAGAAATCCGTGCAATACAAATCCCTGAGTTTAGTAAAATATGCTTTCTAACTAATTTTCTTGGTGTTTCCTTTTTTTGGGGTTTTGTTGTTTTGGTTTGGTTTTTTTTCTGGGAAGAGCAAAGTTTTCAGCAGCATTTTCATACGAATGCTTCAGTTTAACACTACCTTTTCATCTACCTGTAATCTGAAAACATATACACACACACCTACCTGTATTTAGATAGCGTAGGAAAGTGAGGCTTTGATAACATCCTCAATGACCAAGGGAGTGATGTAAGTTACTCTCTACTGAGAATTAGCAGACATGCATGAAGGACAACTCTGAATCCGATAATTGCCTAGAATTGGCTCTAGTGTTCATCCAAGATCCTCGACTTTCCTGGTTCTGGATGAGATATGGTGAATTTTTGCAGTAGCCAGGAGGGGGCATGGCTAGGACATGCAGGTTATTCTATACCACCTCAAGATGAAAAGAAGTAATATTCTAAGAAAATTCAAAGATTTCAGATTAACCTTAGCTCATTAAGAATTTTTTTCAATGAAGAAGAAAAAAAAAGATTTCCTACAACTTTCTAGCAACAAATTTTATAGGTGCCTTATCTGACTCTCTAAAATTGTTCCATTTCTCTCATTTTTATCAGAGGGAGACCAACTTCCATCCGTGACACTCTGTCATGATCATCTCACTTACCCTTTGTTTTCCATTTCTCTACTACACATGTAGAAGAACATGATAAGAATGTCTAGAGATAAAAGCAGAAAAATTCTTAGGAGAAAACTGAAATACAGTAATATTTTTCAGATGAACATAAAGAACTAGAAAACTGACAATTAAGAGAATTTTCACCACCTTCCTTACTATAATGCAGACAGAAAGGTAAGATTATTCAAATTTTATAAATACTAGAAATACCCAGCATATTTAATAAAGGAATGCACTGCCACAGAAAAATTTGAGGCCAAGAATTCAAAACAAGTAAGGTAAACATTTCCTAAAACAACAACAGTATTTCTAAGTACTATGTCACAGTAAGTATATTACTAAGTGTTGCAGAGACTTAAATTTAAGTAGTATTTCTCTTATAAAGTTAGAGATAATTTGCAGATTATTGATTTTTCTAGTTGCCACTGAAGAAGTCTGAAAGAATATTAAACATTCTGCATTTTAATACTTGCCAGTTGACATATCCATCTAATACAAAATTAATTTAAAATCTGGCACCAGCTTTTGGTGAAGAGTGAACAGGAAATGAAATAGAGCTTTACTCTGAAATAGTACTACTGTCCCTGCATTCCAATAATTACCTTGGATCTAACAAAAGGGTTAAAAAAGTAGAAAAGATGGTCTTTTTATCCTCACTTGGTATCATATTTCACAGACTAAAATTCAGTGAGTTTTGATTAATTAATACATAGAATTTCTTCCTTTTTCTTGTTGTTACACAAATTTTAAAAGGAACCTTTTGTCTTAAAAGCTAGGTTCTCCTAATGCTTTAATCAAAACAGCAAGTTAATATCTTTCCAAGCATACTCAAGCTGTTGCCAAAAGGAACTGAAAGTGAATTGTGATGTTTCCTTTTCCTAAACGCAGCATTTCAGAAATGTAGCCGACACCCTTCTGCAATGTATAACAAGAACATGGATGCAATGCTTCAATTCCAAAAGTGCAAGAGAAATTATTGAAATTATATTAGAAATTGCACCTTCAATATACATTAAATACATCCCAGAAAAGGAAACAGCCAAAGGGAGATACACAAGGCAATTTTCAGTAGTGGCTCTCTTCCCTCCCTGCCTGTGAGGTGAATGGCATTGGCTGTACCAAACAGCTGCTGCTGCTGCTGAGGCTTCACCCAACCTGCCTTTGGGGACACCTCGGCTCTACACCACCCAAACATGCCCCAGTGGCACTTCTCAGAAGGTCTGCATTCTTGAAGATGCAGCATTTATAGCCATACTTTTATCTTGATCAAGACATGACATTTTTGGTTGTTGCCTGACTTGGTGATTACACTACAAATATTGCTTTAGTTCATTGTACTTGCTGATACCTCGACTGGCAAGAATCAGGGAGAAAAAGAGCTGTAAAATCACTAATATCCCCACCTTTTAATGTGTTAAGTAGTATTTATTTATTTCTAGTTTATTTAAGTATAATTATCTTCTATTTCACTCTTTCTTCATGTCTGATTTTCTTCTAGTAGACATTCTGTCTTCAGCAACAGAAAAATATTCTGATGCATGGCTGGTATCAGTAGGGACACATGTTTGACTTAGCTCCTCAGTGTCAGAACTGCTGTCACTTGGCATTCCTCCTGTCTCATTTACTACATATACAGAACCTCCTAAAGACAGATCATTGCATGTGCCAGGAACAGAAGAAGCTGCGTTCTGGAACTGTACAGGCTCGAGTTCATCTTCCCTCCCAGGACACGCACAGTTGTTTTCCGCAACAGTTTCTTCATCTTTTACCATTTTTTCTTGTTTTGTTGCTGTAGTGATTTGAGTGGAAGATGTATTCTCATATTCAACTGGAAGGACAACTGAACATAAAGGCTGACCACAAGAAGCATTACCATCACCAAGCATTTCTGCACTTTCAGCTTTTTTAGCTGAGTTCACAGGAAAGCATGAGCCTTCGCATTTTGGATGACTATGACTAGAAGGAGGCTCTGCAGACTCTGAGGATACAGGCCTCCCTAGATTCAGAAGTGTTTTGTCAGGAGATTTGCTCTTTTCCTTTTCCATTTTTTCAGTTCTGTTTCCAGAAAAAAACACAGAAGAAGTCAGTGAATCAGAAGTACTTTTAACAATACCTCCAAATGAAAATACTGATGAAGGCAATGGAAAGTTACTTTTGAAGGGAAATGCACAATTATTGGTCAGAAGGGGTGACTCAGAGACATCATTCACCCCAGCAGCAGGGTTGGTTTCTGAAGTAATGCAAGCTACAGTTGTGGTGGATTCTGAGGCATGAGGTCTTTGTTCCCGTGAGACAGATGGTTTCTGTGTATCATATCCTGCAGTTTCCTTTGCACAATGTGTTTTTTCTCTCATGGGAGATAACATTTTTTTGTCAGATGGCTTCTCAGATCGGCTAAAAAACGAAGATGGTGGTAAAACCTTAAATGAATTGCCAACTTCTGATCTTGCAAACCAGTCTTTTTCTGAATTGCCAAAGGGAAACAAAATGTATGGCTTTGTACTTTCTGCTGAGTCTAAACTAGGACTGGTGGAAGAATCACAAACTGTGGTTTTGGTTTCAGGACCATGTCTATCCTGGTTATCAGTTTTATCCACATTATCACATTTCCCCAGATAAAACTGAGGAAAAGCACATTTCCTGTCCTGCTTTTTAAAGGAAGATGTACCTCTATCTTTAATTAATCTTGGTAATGAGTCATTAGTTGCACTGAAAGTAAAAGGTACACCAGAAAGTCTCTCTGGAGAAACATCTAGAGATTCTGAACTTGAAGCAGTAACAGTTACTGTTGTTGCTTGTTTTATGCCTGATGAAGTGCTAGAATTTGTGTCCATTTCATTCAAAACAGTAGCTGAGGAAGGCTGTAATTTTTCTTTACCTAACAAGTCTTTGAAGTTGTCTGAGTCTTGAGTGGTTACTTCCTGGGAATTTCCCTCATGAAATAATCGTAAGTCACCATTTGTTTCAGAGAAGTTCGTATTTGTGGATGGGATGCTTCCAATAAAGTTTCTTTTGTCAAAGCGGCCTGCTCTTCGCAGGTTTGCCGTTTTTATTTTATCTGTGTTACTTGCTTTGGTAGGTGAAGATACAAAAGGAATTCCTGAGGACTTATCCTTCGAGGCCTCAGCAGTTACAAATTTATACTTTTTATTTGCAGGTAAATTTTGTGTCTTGAAGACATTGGTGAGTTTCTGAAGTTCCATATAGTATTTGTAACGTAACTCCTACAATGACAGAAAAAACCCTTATTATCTAAAATAGCATTTGTGGATTCAGAGGTTATAAAACTCACATATGATCTTAAGACTGAAGAAAAGTTTTCATATATACTATAGCATTTATGATCTATTTTTCCATAGCTACTGGAAAGCAACAGAACACAAGTCATTACAGAACAAAGTTATTTAAAAACAACTGAACAAGATACAGAAGGAATCCTGATGACAAAGTAGGTTTTGAAACAGGAGACTATAGGAAACTGTATTTAAAGTCACTATCAAAACCAGAAATAGCTAAAAATCCTAGCTTAGATATTAAGTGACAACTTCTCATGAAAAACAGCCATCTGAAATCAATTTGGGTGGTGGGACTTATGTTATTATACAAAATTGCATTCTTAATGGAAACAGAAAACAGATGTTCTCCAAAATAATATAGCAAAAGAAAAGTCATTCTATATTTAAAGGACCTAAGCAACTTTCTCATTCCATTATCTGCCACTCGTATCCTCAGAACACGCGTAATGTGATTTGCTGCCGGTCACGCTTCACTAACTATAGCTGGAATTATTCTGTACGGAGCAGTACTCAGCCAACCAAATGGAACTACTAGCAAGCGAAAAAAATCTAATTGTATAACAACATCACTGGAAACCAAACAAAAAGGAGACTGGATTCAGTTTTGTGTCAAATTATATGGTCTTAAAAGACAGAATTCTGTTATCTTCAGAAAACAGAACACTGGCAGATGACCTTCTCTTCATATAAGCACTAGGGAAGCTTATTTGGATTAGAAAGTTACAGATGTGACTCAAAAAGCCACACTAAAATATAAAAGTAAGTATCTGAAGTCAGTAGTAAGATTAGGTTCCAGCTTTTTGAAGGAAAAAAAAAAATCCTGAAAGCTTTAATACCTAGTCAGATTTCATTCTAGAATCGGAAGAGTAACTTTCTACTAAGAAAAGCTTTTAAAATAGTTTTCAGTTATTTAGAAAGTTGCATCATAACATATAATAACTTAGCCATACTTACAACAGATGTGCAATCATACCTCATGACTCATATTTTGAAATGCTGACATTTCTGATATCGACATAAAACGAGTAGCGATCCTCCTACCATCTGCTTCATCCTGTCCCACTACAGGCTGAAAAATGTTTTGCAGCAGACATTACATTTCATTTTTATAAGCCAAAACAGACAAAATAGTATAGTGTTGTAGACCACATAATCAATAACTTACAAGAAATGTGTTTGGCATATTCTTCTGCTCCTGACACTGCTTCAGCGTATTTTTAAATAGACTTGAGTTCTCATTTCCTTCATATGGTTGACCTATTAGAAAGAATACACGAATACTGATGGAGAGTACATTAAAAATGGAAAATACAGAAAGGCTCCTGTGCACCTAAATACTGATTCCAATTAAGAACAAAAGTATACTGCCCTAAGTGAGACCCTAGTCGTTGCTGAAACTTTTGTAATATAAAGCCAAAGGCCTGTGTAAGCAGTTTTCCAAATGCCTGGAGATGCCCAATCCAATGCTTTCTCTTATGAGGTAAAACCATTTAATCTGAGCATAGCCAACATTCACATCACACTACAACACCCATCTAGTTCAGCAACACACTTCTGACATCAGCGATACCAGCTGTATATGAAAATTATGATACTTCCCCCAGATGCCAAAAATACAGCCTAGGAACTTTCTAGGGAAAGCACATTTATAAAATGCATTTAAAAGCCGTCAATTAATTTATCATCCATTTCATTTGCTCGGATGCTTTCCAAACACTTGCATGCTTTTGCCATGCAGATTGTTCATTAGCAGTTGATTCTATATGTTGCAGGTTTCTAGAGTGACCTCCCAAATCTTGTCTTCATTAAGTCCTTCTTCCTTACCTTTAACAATGCCTACATTAACAGGTGTTAATTCCAAAGCTACGATTTCATTAACCACAGATTTGATATCCATCTTCTTTGGCATACACACTGGTGGTCTTTCCCAGCTGGATGCTATATTCATCACGTCAAGCTGAGTTTTCATTCTGGAAAAGGAAAAAGCTAACCAATTTACAACACTTAGTGTTTACATGCCAATTAAACTATGTCTGCATGACATAAAACAAAATTATTTTAAAAAGCAATCACTATGAGGGAGAAGAAACCAGAAAAATTAGGTCTCCAATAAAATGTCAAGTTCCTCACAATTTTTTTCCTTAAAACTTATTACTTGTTGATTCATTCGAATCAGGTTCCATACTCAATGAAAATTGAAAGTGGTGCCTGTAGTTCAGCAAAAGGATTACCCTTCTACACTTTTCTTAGTGTACTTTCCCTGAATCTAAATGATACTCCTTCTTCAGAGGGCACCATTAATGTAAGTCTGAAATACAATGTGTTTTAAAGAACTCCATTTTCAATATTCCTTCTTAAACTGAAGGTAAAAAGTTGTAAGAAATGTAATCAAGAATCTTCAGAAAGAAATTACAAGGTATGTGCACTAGAAGCACAAAAACAAAGGCACTACAAAATCTCCACGCGCACTCTTACATTTAAAAGATTTCTGTAAAAGCTCCAGCATGCTTTGGTGTTCCTGAGTTAAAATATGATACCTGAAAATATCCAATCACCAAGTATTAATGAATTTCTATATTCATTTTGTGTCAGGCAGTCAATTCAAAAGCTTGATTATCTCTAATCCCTGTAGTCAATTATTAAAATCCTTGATGCATTTCCTAAAATTTGGAATACAGAGCATCAAAAAATCCTGAAGTATTATAATGTCTTAATTGCTCAATACTATTTTCATTTTAAATCATTTATTTGATGATATCCAAAGTAACTTTTTTTAGTTTTTAATCTTAAATATCCAAAATAACACTACAGAAAACAAAACATGAAAAAAATTAAAATATACCTTGTATTCAAGCCACAGGCAACCTATAAATAAACAAGAATGTGTAAGATAAAAGTTTTCCTCCAACTGTCAAAAGAAGGTTATTGCTTTATCAAAATACTTGAGACTGAATCGCCTGTCTTCATATCATGAAACTATACGAAATAAACTTGTTAAAAT